TTAAAAAAAACAAGTAATTAACGATGAAAACGTAATAACAAATCTAACAAAACAATTAAAATCAAAATAAAAGCGTAATAAACAGTAATTAGCTTTGAAAAAAGCTGTTTTGTATTTGAAGAATGATAAAACAATTCGAAAATCTAACGAATTTGAAATGTCAACAAACAATGTGCGATAATGAACAATCACGGATACAGTTAATAAATACTGTTGAAAATAAAAGTTCAAAAATCCTCTGAAAAAATGTATCTTTTTGGTTGGTAAAAACGCATTTGCTATTTAGTTTCGCTTTCAGTATCAAATGTAAGGGGACGTGGCATCCTGATTGGAAAACGAAACTAGCTTATAATCCATCAAAAAATGAAAAAAAAAATGATTTCAGCTTATAAAACTAGCAAGAAAGCAATCAAAAACGTTAAAAAAATTTTTTTCGATATTTTCATCAATTTTTACCATTTTAAGGGTCCACTGTAGCCTTAATATGCCTATTAAGTTTAATTTGTAAACTTAATACTTTTTAGCTAGAAACTTAGTAAAAGGCTTCATTAAACTAACCGTTTCTCTTTTACATTTAAGAGCATCAATTTATTTTCCACACAGATAATTAGTGACCATAGCGTTCTAACATTAAAATGTAATAGCTAATTTATGTTTGTTTCTGACGTTTAAGGAGAAGCTCCATGACAGAAAATTTAATACACATCCTGGCGGGCTAAAAGGCTTTTCTCCACGTTTTGAAAAGTGGATTAAACGGCGTTACCATTGCGTATATTGAAGGGACTGTCACTTTAATATTTTAAAAAGAATGATTTATTTTTTGATGTAAGCATATTTCTTACTTTTTTTGTGATTTAAACTCTTACTTTTTAAGTACAATCTGTAACTTCTCTACTTAACTGCGGCTCCCGATTAGCGTTTGGCAGCCCATGTGTATATTATTTTATCGACGATTTCCAGAATGCATAAATATAAACTTTTTTTTTTCAATGTAATTTAAATCCCTTCTTTTTTCCTGTCATTTTTTCCCCATTTTTATTAATTCTTTTCTTCATATTCAACCCGCCCTAAAATAAATAAATCACAAATCCTCCATCTGTGGTTAGATATGAAATGATACAAAAATAAATAAATAAAAATCAATACACGTATTTGACTTGCATGATCGTAAATAGATTAAATTCATATTCTTATTTTTTTTTTTTTACTCTTATTTAATTATTTATTTTTTGTTTTGTTTATTTGAAATTTTCGTTTTATTTATTACATACGCCAGCAAAATATGCCGTTTCCTTTATAGTGAGATGAACATCGGCAGAAGTGCTTGCCTTTGTCGTTTTTCTGGCATGTAGCATGTACGCTGCATTCCGAATCTCTACTGCAATCAGAGATGAGAATGGATTCAAGATCGTCGAAGGTTGGTGCTCTATCATCGCCCGACTCTAAATTCGAATCGAGATTCGTTTTTTCTTTGGGTGAATGTACCAGAGAATTAGCTTTCTGTATGAGTCCCTTTAACTGAATATCTTTACTACTTTCATCATCATCTTCAAGCGAATAGCTATTCTCTTCTCTGCCTTTATCTTCAGCATAAGAGCTATCGAAATCTTTTCCCTTGTAAACAGAAACGTCTTTTGGGTGCTTTTTGGAGGAGTGATCCTTAATGTACGAGTGAGGTGAATGAGCTCGACGTGAACGGTAACTGGAGTGCTTAAGTATTATTTGAAGATCAGAATCTTTGTTTTTTAGGACACCATTTTCTTGATTATTGTTATCAGTAATTTTTCTATCGGAATCATCACTATAATATTTTGTGTTATCATTGGTAATACTTACATCGGAATCCTCATCATAATGATTGTTGTTATCATCCAACATTCTTCTATCGGAATCACCACTATAATATTTTGTGTTATCACCTGTCATTCTTTTGTCGGAATCACCATCATAATATTTTGTATCATCGTCTGTCATTCTCTTTCTGGAGCCACCACCATAGGCATCATCATTTTCTCTGGCATAAAATAATGACTGTGATTCCCGAGTAGGATGATATAAAGATGATTTGAGGAATTTTCGGTCATCTTCATTACGGTATTGATTTTCCTTGTCTGGCTCACTGTCATCGTTACTTCTTTCGTATTTTTTTAAGTTTCCGTGGATATCTTCATTTTCAAGAAATCCTTCATTATCGTAGCTTCTTTTACGACGACGTTTATAACTCTGCCTTAAATCAAAATTTCGACCACTTTCTTGTCCTAAAAATTAGTGAAAGACACACTTATATTTCATACACGTGTATTTAATAGCTTTAAACAAGTTAGATGCATCTTATAGTACAAAGAAATTAAGAAAGATGAAAGGTTGGAGAGACAACATGGGAAGTGTGTTTGTGAAATTTACTTAATTTTTAAAGTGATAAAAATATTAAAGGATTTTCTTCTTTTTTTATTTTCTTAAAGGAAGTTTTATTCAATACTTAAATTGATAGTACTTTGGGAAAACAATAAATTCCAGAGAATTTTATTCCAGTTGATTTATCCTATGATTAAAAGATCAAAATGAAAAAATACGGCTTGTGCAAATTTTCATGATTAAAAATAACTGGTTTAATGAAAACTTTCAAGCATTATTTCTCGATCTTTGATTTTTTAAATAATGTTTCTAACTTTTATCTATGTTAATAATATTATGTATTTATTTATTATGTATTTTATTTACGCCAAGAAAGAAATTGAAAAAAAAAACTTTACTTTCAAGTAATTCTTAGTTTTTTGAACAAGTATTCCTGCTTAACAATAGCAATCGATGTTATTTCGTACTTTATACATTAAAATATGAACGTAACTCCAAATGCGAAGTCAGATATGGATATCTTGGAAAGGAAGTAGTCTACCAAATCAATTCTACAAATATGTACTTAAAAATAAATCCTAACTAATAAGGCTATTTTGTACAGGATTTTGGCTAAATAAAGCAAAACAAGACTTCCCTTTCCTGTCAATAATGTTTAAATTTTTTTTATTTGTTTATCTATTTATTATTATTTTTTGGGATGGAGGGATATTTATTACTTGAAAACTATGCAGTATATATACCAAAATAAAGCTTTTATCAATTCTTTGTTCCCTTTTAAAATTGTTTATGCCCATTTTTTTCTCACTCTTATGAGGTGTGTTTTGTCAGTCTTTTTGTAATGTTTCTATAAAAATAAATAAATAAATAACGGTCTTCATTACTTCATCAGACAAATACTTAAATCATAGAATTTTATAGTTTTTTTTGGAACTACTTTGCATTAAGGTAAAGTTGTGTAGTGAAGTTAGGAAAATAATAATAGGGAGTTGTAATAAATCATATTATTTTGCTCATATTGCATTTTTATCTCATATTGTTTCCAGCTGTATTTTCAAGCTCTGTGATAATAGTTAAAAACTATTAAAGGATTTGAGCAGTCAAGAAATGTTTTTCCCTCTAGAGAGACAAAGAATGTTTTTTAATATGTTTGTACGAAGCTATTGCTTGTAGCTCATTTCCTGGCAGACAAAATCTAATATATATAATTCTCTTACGTGGCTTCCTAATTTTGGCTGTATTTCTTTTCCGCCGGTGGCAACGTTTGCTTTGTTTTGTTTACGTTACTATTTCTCTTACACGGCGAATCGACCAATGATTGCCGCTAAAAATGTCACATGCCAAATCTAGCTGAGGTGGCTCAACATATAGCGCTTTTAAAAATGGAAACTGAAATAACCAGAGAGCATCAGCTGCGTCAATCTCATACTATTAAGCTAGGCAGAAGTGAGTAGTCTGTGTCGATAGATCTCCATTTTAGTATTTTGTCGAAAGCGCTTTTTTCACGAATTTATATATTACGAATTTATTTGACGATTTTTGATTTATATCACGAATTATAATATAGCGTATTTCTAAGAGGTTTAACGAATTACATGTCATTTATTTGAATTCAAATTTATTTTAATGACTTAGTATTTACTAAAAAGATGTAATTTTTTTAAAAAAAAGTTTTTTTTATATGGATTTGAATGATTGTTTTGAATTCCTAGAATTTTGTGCATTGGATTGCACCCAAGTTAGTAGCGAGCGAAGCGAGCTCGGTTTGCGAAGCAAACCATATAAGATTGCGTAGCAATTTTCGGGGGTTGGCGAGCGTTAGCGAGCAGGGGGCGCAGCCCACTAGTTAATTATATATTCTGCTTTAGAATCACATTTGTCTTAAATTTCTTATTTAAATATTATCTTTAAATATAAGAGACATTATAAATCAAAAATCATAACGAAACTTATTACGTTTTCTTTGAAATGTTATGTAATTTCATTTAGATGCGCGCCATTAAGTGTGAACATAATTAATTTTTTCTTTCAATTTTAATACACCGAAAGAGCTTTTTTTTATCACCAAATTGTAAAATAACGTGCAAGTAGCTTTTGGTGAACTTAGAGTTTTTGAAAACAGCAGTTCTTTAATATTTAGTATGCCAAAACTAACTTTGTCCCATGAGTTGGTGAACGTACTTAAACAATTTTACCACTTGTACCATGGCATATTCTATAAAGTGTCTCCAAAGAGTAACCAAACAATTTAAATTGAATTCAATCCTCACAAGCTCAAATTTAAAATATAGGATGTAAAACTCCTAATGGTAACCAATATTGTATAGTTGTTCCTTTAAAAAAAAATTTTTAAGGTTCATTTTGAATTTGCGATATAGAAAACACTATATTCAGGAGTTGTACTTTCAGGGTAAAATAAAAGTAATGATTAATATTTGAATACAATTGATTCGTTAGATAATAGTTTTCTTGTTTTAAATAACTTTTTTTCGAATCATCAAAAAAAAAAAAAAAAATTCCTCTATCTACGAAATAAAAAGTAAAATTTTCAATTTTTGTAGAATTTTTAAAAAGCCTTTTTTAAAAATCGTGGTTTTTAAAGACAGTAAAGTAACGAACTTTGCGCAACAACCCGTTGTTGACCGGGATGGGCAAACTTTTTTGGTTGAGGGCCAAAAATCGAGAAAATTTTTTTTTGGTGGGACAAGTAAAAACTTCAAAATTTAAAAGAAAAAAAAAGCGATGTACAAGTTTTAATTTAAATATTTAGTGAGATGAATGAAACTGCGATTACATTTTTAAAAGTTCCTTATATTGAGGGTCGAAGTGAGATGCACTTATTTTAAGGCAAGAGGCTAAATCCTTGTCTGTTAGTCTACTTCTGAAAAGATTTTTTCTATGGTTCATAATTGAAAACTCTTGTTTACGTATATAGGATTAAGCAAACATAGCTAGCATGGATTTTCTGGGCATGGAATATTAGATTTTGGAAATTAGCCTTTGGTAATGATTTGTAAAACTCAAACTTTGGGCATATTTAGAAACAACTGCTTCAGATGATCGTTAGATTGTCTGCTCGTTGTAAATTGAATGCCACATGTGAAGTACAATTCACCTATATTAGATTCCATAAGTCTGCTCCTCGAGAAAGACAAACGCTATTTAGAGCCCATCTACGGCTATTCTATAAAGAACTTCTGCTTTCAACATTTTACAAATTGAAGCTGTCAGCGCTAACTATTTCCATCAATTTATGTTTTGTGGAACAAAAAATAGACAAAGTAAAAAGGTCATCAGTACTTTGTTAAAAAAGAAAGAGCATAAATAGCTTTCAACAAAGTCGACAAGAAAATGTATGTACGTTGTTTATATTTGCCACTGATCGGCAACTTAATCTGATCGGCATAAAATCTTCCGGTGGGCCACAGTTGGCCCGCGGGCCGTAGTTTGCCCATCCCTGGCCTGGGGGATCATAGAGTTCAAGGCTCAACAATTTCATGACTATAAACTTGATTATGAGAATGTGGTCAGCTTTGTGCTCAGGCTACCTTTACTTACCAGACAAGCTTGCATCCATCGATCTGAAGCTAGGTGGGTTTCAAGCCGCCTTTGGGATCGAACCCCAGACCGCGGCTCCAGTTTCTTACACACATAAAAGAGAATTCCCTGCAGTTTTCTTTTAAAAGAATTAATTAAATATTAACACAAATTTTTTTCCCAAGGAATTTTGAATGTGAAGAATAAATGTCCCTTTCCCACTTTACGTACGGCTTTGCTGAAGACATTTATGTATAAAACCATTAATAAATAATAAATAGCCATTAATTCTTCGACATAAATCTGACCTTAAAATCGAAAGAAAACGTTCAAGAGCTATTCGATTATCCTGATTGGCAACTTACAGGCTCTTACAACTGTTAAGACCCTGATTAGGTGTTGAAGTTGTAAGTTCATGTGAACTTACCGATTTTTCTAAAGAGAAAGTTTCTTCTCGCCACGAATATATTTCTGTTCGTAAAAACTGAACATGTCAGAATTCTATCGATGGATGTTCTCAATTCCTTAACCATCACTGAACTTCCATCGACATTGACTTTCATGTTACTGGGTAAGTCATATCTGGTAGTGAAATCAGCATTACTGAGTGACCATTCAAGAACAATGGAATCTACAGGTAATTCCATGAAAGCTTTGGCATAAATCACAAGCTCTTCTCCGGGATACAAAACTCCCATGTCTAAAATGAATAATCCATATCTTATGAAACAATTTATAGAAAGTGAAGAAACAATTAACAATTTATAGAAAGTAAAATATAAGAAGGTTTTTTTTTTGGTCAATTTAATTGCATAGACTGGAAAACATGAAAAATATGAAGACTAATATTATTTTTGATATCATTCCAGAATGGATTGATTAAGTTTCGAAAGATGGTGGCGAGTAAAGTAAATATCTAACACTAGCTTACTTGCGAAAATTAAATGAAGATGATTAAAAACATGTTTAGGACATATCCTGGTCTGTTAACATCCTTTTAACTGCTTCCCTTTAACGTTAATATGTAACGCTCGTTAACACCTTTTTAACGTTCTGTAGGAGGGGTTAAGGGTGGTGATTATAAAACATCCTTTATAGTTTGTCTGTAGAAAGAATTCCCTTCGCCATAAGGCCGTCTGTTGCTATGGAAACAAGAAATAGCGGATTTAAAAGAGGGGAGTTTCTCTCTCCTGTGGTTCCCTTTCTCTCACCGATAACACACTCAACACCCTTAAATATACTCAACATGCCTACATGAAATGGATAACTATAGCCAACGCCACTGTCTCAGACAACTCATGGCAAGGGAAGTTATTTCCATAGACAGACCATAATTCTTCAACGATGCTTAAGAAATTCGAGATTTACACTTCGTTCTCACACCGTTTTTCATCATGAGTTCTTCTGACTTTTTTTAAATGTATGTAAACAAGCATTTTTGTTTGTGGTCAGATCTCCTTTTTCAAATAATATGTTTAGTTTTTTTTTTTAAAATTAATAGCGCCTTTTTTTTATAATGATTAGCGCTTAGCATGTTTTAGACTTTAAAAAAAAAAAACTTATTTTAAAAAATTTCTATAATTATTTCTTGATATACCTGTATGTCACTTTTCATTATAAAATAAGAACCAATTAAAAAAAATTAAGTTCGCAAAGTTTTTTCTTAAATAGAAAACTAAATATATTTTCAGCGTTTTTAATGTTAAAGAAAATAAGTCGTATAATTTTCACAGTAGTCCTAAAATGTTTGAACAGTTAAATATTATTAAAAGAGTTATTATATTTATGGTTTTAAAGTGACATAGATGATAAACATTTTTAAAAACTGAAATAGATTTCCTGCATTACATTTTGCTTCGAAATCGTTGTATTTTATCAGTTTTTATTTCATTTATTGATATACTGATGCGCATTATTAATTTTCAATAATATTAAACATGCAAAATAGTGAGAAGAATATTATGCACGATTTTATTACGAATAATTGGAAAATTATGTTGCATATTTTATTCAAAAACTTAAAATAGTAGGAACGTTGAAAATAGGATTTAAAATTTATTAAATTTAGAGGAGTGAAAATATAACTTCATTATTAATATTATTTTTTCAGACTGTTGGAGACAAATATTATTTTTTTGTTTTAAATTAATTAGTAGGTACCAAAAGTTATTGTTTCGAAAATGAAGCTTTTACCGATATGGATAGGATCTATGTGAAATTTTATAGTCATTTTCTGTTTCCGTTTCTCACGTTTTTTGTTATTGGTGGAGATACTCTCGGCCACGGCAATGAAAAAATTGTAGTTGAAGTCTGTTTCTGTGATGGGTGATATTCTCAGCTCATTATTATTGCCTCCAATATTTATGTTCCATGGAGATTTGCCTAAAGAAATGTAAATACACAATTAGGGGTTACACAATTAGGGTATGGCATCAAACTTTTTTCTTATCATATATTTTCTTATCATTAAAACAAAAATTGACACAAAATTTCTTTATTTTAAACTAATTAATTTTTATCTGGCGGAATCTCATGGCTTATAGATATATCCATTTTTTCTTGCCTTTAAAATTAATCTTAACTGTTCAAAACCTCTATCATGCACAAATATAGTGTAAAAAACCATTTATTTTATGAAATTACTAGATTTAAAAAATTATTATGGCTTTCATCAAGTAATTTATGTTATTATATGACGAATTTACTTTTTTTTTTTTTAAATTAGTTTTCTTTCTAAGAAATTAATTCTGGTAGAAAATTTTGGAAACAAACTGAAAATAAAGTAATGTTTTTATATTTAAGGAGTTTAATCTGCACATTTTGTGTCTCTCGACTGGGGAAAGAAAAATGAATCGTTACGTAACTAACATTGGTACTGAAGCAACCAAAAATTCGTTCTATATCAGCCAATAGAACTTCAAAGATTACTTATTAATTTTGCTTATTTCTCATCGTATTGATTAATGTGCTGTATTTATTATTGTTTTTTTTATTGATGTTGTTTCCATTTAAAATAGAAATTTGTGATAAAATGATTTGTTATAATAAGAGAACATAAAAATCTTAAAACAACGTTTTCCCACGAACTAAAGCGAGGAAATTTTTTTTTGCTTTTTGCAGTATCTAAATCACATAATTTTTTAAGAGACATTAGAAGCTGATTATTGGCGGTGGGTGATAATGTGTTTTATTATGAAAGTAATGTGCCCAAAGTGCCCTTGTTTAGGTTAATTCTTTTATTATTCCAGCGGTCTAAACACTCCAGCTTTACTGAAAATAGTTATTCTTTACGGATACAAAACTGTTTGAAAATTTAAAGGCTTAATGTACATGTGTATGAACGAATAAATATTTAATTTTGTATGAGTAACTCGCGACATATAGTTTTTTAGACGATAGGAGCATTTAAGGATTTGTGGAGAATTAAAAGCTTAAAATTATTTTAAAACAATCTAAACAAATATTTGTCTTATTATAAGACAAACACATTTTTAAAAAAAAAAATTGTCAGAAATGTAATAATTATTTTTATCAAATTTTTTTTTTCCTTTTCAAGGGTCATTTTTTAAAACTTTATTTCATTTTTTTATTTTTTGGTTGCGCAGATTTCAATATTATTAGTATTAGAAACAGTAATCAGTATTAGTTAATAAAAAGAGTAAGAAATGTAACAATCTGTTTTGATTTAAACATACAAATAAAAAATAAAAAAATCGCACGTATATTAAGGTTACACGCATTTTGTAAAATTTTAAGGGATTTCAAGGAAAAATTTCTGGTGGATGGGCAATTACTTGTATTGTGTTCATTGATTTATTATGTGCCATTGTTGAGCTGTCCCTGAGAGTTTTTAAATGTGTCTTCTCTCCTGATACATCTGTATGGCGAAAGTAAAAATCTTAAACGCATTTACGCTATTAAATATTTAACATTTTACTTTATTTTTATTTATTTATTTTATTTTATTTTATAATCATCGTTGCACAGCCGACCCAATTTTGAGTTTATGACTACTGACAACCAATGTTCAATTTCTCAGCCTTGTAATTTCGAACCCAATCCAGAAGAAAATTGCCTTCGTCGAGCACTTGACGAAACTAACCCTTATTTGCGTTACATGGAGAGGGAAAAAACTAAAACTTCCCATGACGTCAAAGGGATAATAACCCATGATCCGTCTACCACTAGGGCTATTTTGCATCAGCACTGTGGCCGGACCGAGCCGGTAGCAGAGTTCGTATCAACAAATTAAATCGCTGGAATTCGAACCTGGGTCACCTCATTGGGAGGCAAATGCTCTATATGATGAGTCACCACGGTAATATTTTTTACTTGAATAATTTTTAAGGAAAAAAATAATCTAAACCTTTTTCTAGTTCTTCTCTTAAGTCGAAGAGTGATTGTCGCCTTTTAAAATGACGGTACCATCTAATTCTATATTTATTTCGGCTTTCATCGTCTTCTATTTTCACACCAAGTGTTAGTGTTGTACCAATTTGACGAATATTCACACAGGTGTGTGTGTCAATATCATATCGATCACAAGGGTATAGAGGTGACAAGCCAGATTGCTGTTCCCTATAAGTAAATCAATCTCTCAGTCTCTCTCAATCAATCTCTATCAATCTCTTTACAAAATAATGCGAAAAATATCATCTAATATTTTTTAAATGTTTTTAAAATTAGTTTTATTCATAACATTCATGAGTTGCATTTGTTAGAAATAGTTTTAAGAAATTTTATGCCTATGTTATTCCCACATAAATACGGAAATTGAATTTTTTTAACTATTACTGGGGCCATTCTAGTGTTAAATAAGCATATTTTTGGTAATTTTAACCTCCGCAGGTCAACGAAAATTAGCAACACGGACACGAAAATTAGCAACACGGCAACACATATAGAACATATAGCAACATATAGAACATGTGAGCTCCCATGCTTATGCAAGAAAAATACATCACCCCTCCTCCCTATTTCTTTCTTTAACTTTAACTTAACTAAGTTAAAGATGAAATTCTAATAAAAAAAGATGTTACTCTTTGTATTAAACAAATTTTTTGTTTTAAAAAATTAACGTTTAAAAATAAAATTTTGAGTACAATATTCTTTAAGAAACTTTGGTGGTGTTCTTTTGAGTTGGAAACTGTTGACCTCTGAATATTGCTTTCTCCAATTGAATTGTTGTTTTCTCCATTTTTCTTTCTTTCCTCCAATTTAACTTTCATTACACTTTTTATGTGTCATCTTTCTGATAATTTTTTTTTTGCTTTCTTAAGAAAATTTTGAAAATAAGGAGAATTTAATGTCTTACGTAAAATATTGTCCATACCGTACCTCCTTCCTTATCAGCAAACATTAAGCAAATCACAACCTCCTCTCCTCGTTAGATGCTTACGTTATATTTCTACGGACCTTACTCCATAAAATGGAACTTAATATTTAAAATGATTATATGATTAATATTTTAAATGAAAGTACCTACCTTTTTTAGAAATGAAATGTTTTTAGAAAATGAATTAAAAGTGTTTCCTGGTTCCCTCTTCCAAGGAAGCGCCTTTAGTTCACTTTACAAGTAGAACGAATTTCTGGTCGTGGCACTTACGTATTAGACTATGTGATTAAACAAAATATCGGTTAAATTGTGTGTGAATAATTTAAAGGTTGAGCTAATTTTGCGTTTCCTTGGGATCAAACAATATAATGGATGAATCTTTTGGTTCACAGTTAAATTAGAAATTTTTTTTGTATATGTCGGGCGATCGTGTCGAATCCGAGAAAGATAGGTTGCGAACAAGAAAAGGTAAGGTTTCCTGATAATAAAAATGCGGCAGTAAAATATTTCAACTAAAAATAGAAATCACTTGTTTTTAATATCATTCTAAGTGTCCCTGTCCTCTTCCCCCTGACAAAAACTTTTATAACCCTCATTGAACAGCCGACCCAATTTTGAGTTTGCTGCTACCAATGTTCAACTCCGCTGCCTTGTAATTTTAAACCCGATCCAGAAGACAAGGGGATTCCTGGATCAAGTATTGGGAGAAATTTGCCTTCGTGAAGGACTTTTTGATGGAACTAATCCGGTTTTGCGTTACTTCAGCACTGTGGTCGGTGCAAGCCGGATGGGGAATTCGTATGGACTAGTCATCGCTAGGATTCGAACCTGATTCACCGCGTTGGAAGGCAAACGCTCTTTACCCTGATCCATCCCGGCTCCCTGACGAAGAGTGTCGTATCTTGGATTCAGAATATTTCAACTAAGAAGTAAAAGCAATTTATTATTATTGATGTTTTTTCAGGTGTCATATGATTCTCTTTCTTGAGACCATCTGTTTCATGAATGTGTCTGACATCAGCATCTGGTTCCATGTATGCCTTCCTTGGGATGACTTCGATGATAGGTGGCACATTTAAAATGGACGACGCGTGATGGGTGATGGAATCTCTTAAGTATTTCATTTTGTAATATTTACCTTGTTGATATTTGAAGCCAGGAAAGAGGTACCTAAATATATTACATAGCGAGCTCTGATTGTTTCTTTGTGTAAGAGGAACAAGCACGCCTCAAAAGTTTTATCAAATATTATTTTTGTTTAGATTTGGAACAAAGTTATGACAATTTACGTTTTTTAAGTTCTGCTAGCAGTTAATTTCGTTACGTCAGAAAATAAGAAGATAACTACTTTTCTTTTTTACATTGAGAAATGTGTAACAGCCCACGTTCGGAAATGTTACTGAACGCCGCCGGGTGTGCTTCCCCTTTACGAAGCTCCAGTTCGTGTTCTTTGAGCTGGTATTTTTATTCAGGTATCTAAAAGATCTTAATTTTATATTAATTTGGTGTTTTTTTTTCTTCCAATTGCATTCAAATAGGCTCCAAAATATTATTATAATTAAATTATTTGGTGATCGACATGATGAGCTTGTAAATGTAGTATGATTTTTAAAAAAAGTTTCAGAAAGCTTACTTTCCCTTTAGAGCATGTCCTTCTGCTGCAGAGCTATCTCGTTTTAGTTTGGTTACAAATTCGAACCTTTCTGTTGTTTCGATTTGTGGAGTACTTGTTCCGATTTGTTGAGCCTCTTGATTTTGTTGAACGTGACTTGGGAATTCTTTAATGTATTGTTGGAACATATCTTTAAGCTCATGATAGAAATCATCCATATCATCTGAGGATGACGGCGTGTCGGCAGGTGAGGAATTAATAGAGACCATTAGCCAGATGCCAAAGAATAGAGTGATTATCCACATCTAAATGAACCATTCTTTAATTGTTATTTTATCTTATATTTTGAACAATGTGTCCGAAGAAAGATAGAAACGAAGAAATATTTCAAAATTACACATCAGATCAGAAATAAAAAAATTGCTGGAATTTTCGAAATACTCTTCTTTAATGATACTCTTTTTTCGTGTCCTGATGCTGGGACTTGGTAAAGTATCATTGCCCGGTATTCCTTAAATTATTTATTATTATTATTATATATATATTTTTTTAAGTTAAGGGCCCATTTCTGAAACTGACATTTTTCTAATCTAAATTGTGTAAATTTCGAAGCCATTTTCGGGCAAAAAATTTTTCCAACTACTGAGGAAAAATGAATTAATAATACGAGATAACAAAAATTGAGACAAAGTGTTGCAAACTCGAAGAGTCGAAATTTCTATTTTGTTGTGATAAATATAATATTTTATTTCTGGTTTCAAATTCTGAAAACGAAAATATATTCTGCTTGTTGTATTTGCTTCATGAATAATGCTGACGTGCATCCCCTACCTTTCTCTATGCGTGTCATTAGGGGTCCAATTGTGAGGGGAACGAAATTAAAATACAGTGTCATAATTTTCTCTAAATTTCGCACATAAGAAAAAAAAAATTCTTATACCCGTTAAATACCAGTAAAAAAGATTAATTTTTTGTATTTCTTTCTTATTTTTAAATTGGATGGATTTTTAAAGTCATTAATGATTCTTTTCTTTATTTGTCTGAAATATTGAGGGGGAGTTTTAGCGATTTCTAATCATTGGGGGGGGGGGGNGGGGGGGGGGGGGGGCAGACTCTCTACCAACATCGCTCATGTTCTTCAACTACAAAATATAAGAAACAGTCATTTCCTATAAGGAATTGCTTGCTGTTTCGTAATCTCTAGGGGAGTGGGGCCTAATTAGGGGGAGAGGGTCAAGTTTTGTGCCATTAGATAGATATTTAAAAATATCAAACAAGCTTATCATATTTTTTGATCTGATATGTATTTTTTGATGTAATCTTCATTTTTAATAATTTTCACGGCCTCTTCACTTTGCAGTTATAGCGTTATCTATGAACCAAAATACTACAACCTGTATGTAAAATTAGTGTATTTTTTTCCCTGGAAAATGCAAATCTGCAATGAAAATAGGGCTTCCTATTTCGGATTTTGAAGTTGAATTGCGACCCTTCCCCAGTAAGAGAAGTTGGGGGGGGGCGTGATTGGTGTTACTGAATGCAGCTTTTGGATGCATTTTATACTTAAATTTTTAGATTTATGATCCCGGTGTGAATTTCTCAACATATTTTACTATTTCCATACATTTTAAGCACCCGTATATTTAAATTAGGAGTAAAAATTCAACAGATTCCGCCAAGCCAAACGATCGGTCAGATGAATCATTCAAAAATTGTGGTAAGTTTTTAGCTGATTTAAAATGTTTCTGAAACCTGTACTGCATTTTTTTGCATGGAAAAATCTATAATTGGTAATTGGAAAAAAAATATTTACTGTAAGTGAAAAAAGTGTTTTGGAAATAATTATATAAAGTATTTCTGAAATCTCGCTCCTGATTTATTAGAATGGTAGTCAAAAATGCCGTTATCGGGATCTTCTTACATGTTACAAATGCAAATAGTTATTCAATTGACTGTTTAGGTTTATTGGCATAACAGCCAGATGTGGTAATACTGCACTAAGATTATTTAAAAGAGAATAAATATGTGTAACTGAAATTTTATGATCAAATCAAAATTATCAGTCTCTTTATTTGTATAATAGAATCAGCTTTATTAAAAAATTATATTATTTCCATTCCTTTTGATTAAGCAGGACAGACTGTTAAATTCAATAAAATTATATATGTACATAAAAATATATATAAAAAAACTTTTAAAATATTTCTAAGCCATTGACTGAGAGTTCGTTGCAAAAAATATATTTTGGTATTTTTGAATTATAAAAAATAATCTAATAGTTACGGAGAAAATAATCTGTTAGATTATGGGAATTATATTTGTTCAAAAAATATTATCCATTAAAGTATTTTGAAAAAAAAAAAGAATCAGTCATATTCAAAAATTTATCGAGAATAGATTTTTTAAATTAAATTAATTTTAATGAGGAAAAATTGTTTCTCTAAGGTCTAATATAAGTGGAAACAATAGAAAATTTGCGGTTATATTATTACTAATAATAAGTACATCTAAATAAGTGCAAAATTTAAAAACCAGAAAAAGTCACCAGAATTTCATGCTGTAAATATCATAAATTGTTAAAATTCTAAATATAATTTTCTCTTATCTTGACCTAAATTAATACAAAATAATAAAAAATGTATAAAAAATATGTTTAATAAAATATCTGCTTCAAATGGTTAAGTTTAAGACACTTAAACAGCGACTTCGATGAACTCTGTTATTGTAAAGTATTTACAGGTGAAATTGGCGATTTCTTTAGAAAAAGATAAATACATACTAATATTTAAAATATTTTTCCATTTTGTGGTTCAGTTATTTATTTTCATTACGACAGTGTTATTTGAATAAAAACTTAGCTTTGAGCAATCAAAATGTGGATTTTCGTGAACAAAATTTGAGGCTGCTAAAAGTTTTGCCCATTTTTCAACATCTTTGGGAAACGTTACATCTTTTAAATTTATTGTGTAAAAATTGCAATGGTGATGTTGTTTACAGTTTGTTAGGGTTTATTCAGTTTTTTTAATTTTATTATTTTATAATGAAATGCTTTAAATATGACAAAACCTTCTTAAAATGGTAAATATGAGAACATTGAAAAAAATTAACAATTCGATATAATTCATAAATCTTACCAATGAGATAAAGAATAATATCGCTCTATATGTATTATTTATTTGGAAAAACATTTTTAAACTATTTACCCATAATCGTTTTATAAATATTACTGATCATCACGAGTCAGAGGCTGAACTATATCACTTGCTTATATCATTCAATCAAGTGCCGTAATATCGTGATTGTTAACGGCAACCAGTTGTTTAACACAAATTTTTACTTGGAAATGAAACTTCTTCCTATCAGTTGCTACTACAGTAACTGATCGATTATTCTTAGTGCAATGTTGAAATTATGTATTACATATTATGATTACTAGTGTATCGTATGGTTATTATTGTTATGTATAAACTAATGTCTAATGTATCATGATGTGCCCGCGATCTAGCATACGATTATTAGTTCAATGTATTATCTTTGTATAATGAGGAGTTAACGACAATGTCAACCTTCCTCTATGAAAAGGTACCCCAGCATAGAATCGAGTTAACTGTTAAAAGTTGTTAATTACTTTTTATGTAAGCTAAAAGCTAACTTTTGATTTCTTTTAAAACTGTTGAGTTGTTATGGCAACGTTTTTATTCTTCTTTTTGTGGAACAAGAAATGATCGTCTGAAAATTATTATGTAAATAAAATGTTGTTCTTTTTTACTAAAAGTTGGAGTCAGATTTATTATTTAGATTTGAAGTAGCGAACGACAGAATATTTTACTTTCTGATAAAGTCTCGTAACATTAACATGTCTTATGTACTAGTGAATTGGAATGGTATTTTTTTAGTGGTAGATATACTACAATACTCCCCCACCAGAATTTCATCAGTGATAGAATTCGATGAACGGTCTACCACTAGTTGATTCATTGCTGCTTTGTAAGAAGCCGGGAGAGCTATATTAAGACCACTGTACTTTTGCTTGCTGTGTTGCCATTAGCAGTCCAGTGTATACAGGCCGACGTTGTGTGTGATCGAGACTGAGTAGCAACAGCGCAAGGAGGTGGATAATATCGCAGTCACAAGTAGCAAGTCAATTGTTCAATGTAAACCATCCATCGAAGTAGGCGTGTTCCAATCGAAGTAAGAGTTTTTTTTTCAAGGTAGGCGTGTTCACATCACCAGTAAGGGAAGGTGTTTAGTCTTCCTACAGTATGCAATTTTGGATGACTAAATACGAAGCAAATTGACGACACTAAAACATTTAATACCTACAGTTATTTACAAGTTAATATATAATTATAAATAAATACATTGTTACGAGGGAAAATATTTACATCCATTATTACTTTTGTATCTAAATGTATAGAACGTCAGGATTGTAACACGCTTTAACAACACGCTGTTGAAATTTTGATGCGTGTTATTTTACTGACCTTGCGCACAACAAATGTGTTATTACTAATGTATCGTATGAATGTTTTGTTGTAATTAGTTTTCATGATAGTAATAGCAGTACTTAATGTATTTCTCATTAGAGCTGCACTATGGGCTATTTTATTTTTATAACCAGCGCTGAACAGCCTACCCAATTTTGGGTTTACGACAACCAGCGCTCAACTCCATAGCCTTGTAATTTTGAACCCAATCCAGAGAACGAGGTAACTCTTGGATCAATTATTGGAAGAAATTTGCCTTTGTGGGGAACTTTTTGTTGAAACTAACCCGCATTTGCGTTACATGGAGAGAACAACCAGGAAAATCTCTCACGGTTAGCCTGACGGCAAGGGGACTCTAACCCAAGATCCGTCTACCACTGAGGATATTTTACGTCAGCACAGTAGTTAGTGCAAGCCGGGTGGGGAATTCGAATCGGCCAATCATCGAAGGGATTCAAACACAGTTAACCTCATTGGAATGCAAGCGCTCTATTTCCTGAGTCATCCCGGTTTGCACTATGGGCTATTGGCGACAGTCAGAGAAACATTCCCGAAGATAATCCGAAGACATGCCATCACAATTTGTATCCTCTGCAGAGGAAATGACTACTCCGATTTGGTGTCCGACGACTTGTTGGCGATGTCGAACACTTTATAGTAGTGCGATTTCACGAGGGCCGATATCACGCACCCTCGCTCTCTTCACTGACTGAACAAAGCGGTCCCCCAACCGCTCACAGACCCTAGACAGCGATGCATGGTAATAATACTATTGTTTAACTGTATTAAACGTTATTTTTATTTACTCATGATAGATGCTACTAGAAACAACTATAATAGTGCTCAATACAACTAAACGATAGTACCATGATTGTTCAATTAAAACAATGCTTAATTTTATGTGCTTAATCATATTCTAATATTGTTTATTTGAATAAAAATGTCTGTATCTGCGCATTTATTTAGCTATAATTGATAAAGACGGAATGTCGATAATTTTTTGGAGAATTTTAATTGTTCAAATTTTTATATTAGTCACAAGAATTAAGAATTTTGAAAATAAGCTTATAAATGTTAATTTTTTTTCTGATATACATTTTTGCTGTATCCGAACTCTCAGTTAAGAAAGAAGTTCAGACTTTTCCGTGCTTATAGAATGACATTTAAATAAGGAAAAATGTGCTCTTTACGAGGAAAAGCAAAACTAAATAAGTTAGTAAGAAACCTTTCTTTTAATTTAAACACGCCTTTTCAACTTAAGTTTTTTTTTTTTTTTTTTTTTCTTTTCTTTTTTTTAAATGCCACAACGACCGTCCGCCAACCTTTGAGGTGAGGGGGAAAAAGCAACAAAACAAATAAAACGGCCACATCCTTCATCCAAAGAATATAGCAACAGGTAGAAGTCCATCAGAGCGTACTTACCTGTTTCCCAAGAAGTCGTAACAACTTTCTTCTGACAAAGCAGGCCCACTTGCCCTCAGGCTGTTCTCTGTTTCAAAAACAGAGAGCATTTACTTCTGCCAGGGACTATTCTTTTGGTTGGGAATTTCGGGGTAAGTAAACGATTCTCTTGTTCTCATGATCTGTATTTAGTTCTAAATTTACTATTATTATTGTTTTACATTTCAAGTCTTCATCTTTAACATCTAGGAATTTTGCACGTAAAAAATATCGCATTTTAGTGTATTTAATTTAAATTCTCACTTCCTTTTTCTCCTATTTTATTTAAACACTTCCAAACTACAGAAATATGAATTTTTTTTAATACCTTTATATATATATATATCATATTTGCTTAGTACGCATTTTTTTAAGCATTATGTTTACTATTTTTTAGGCATAAATGCATTAATTGATCCGATAATGAATATTATCTGTAAGAAAAAACATTATGTATGTAAGACACTATGTTATCAACCATACTGTTGCGGAAATTAAAATTTTTTATAATAAGATGTATACATTTTTAAAATTTATTATTGACTGTGTGTATCTTAAACGCTTTAACCCAAATAATTTAGGCTAGCTTACTTTAATTGCCAAAGAACTTAAACTTTGTACAACATAATTCAAGAGTATTCTTGCGTAAAATTTTCTTACTCTAGTACGGATTCTATAAGCGCTTTTTTCTCCCCTTTAAATTTTTTATTACCGATGTTTAGGACACCATTTTTTAGTTCCGCTACTGGACTCATTAAAAAAAATGAATTTGACCTTTAAATAGTTTTTAATTATCTTGACCGTTTACATACAGAAATATTCGTAGACAAACTATTAATTTTATTTTCTAAATTGGCTTAAAATATTTTATCGTCTTTTTATTTTAAACTCTTTTTCTGATGAGAAAAAAAAATCGAAATATATTTAGATCTTTTTGAAGAGATCTCTTCTCAGGTGTTGATCAACAAGTGCAGTGACCTCGTTCTCCGAAGAATGAAAGCACCGAAAAAACAAGCGGCAATAAAAATAAAATATTATATATTCTTTTTCCAATGCTGCTTTCTTTACTTGAGCGGATAACGATAAATGATTCAGGTAAAACATAAAAAATAAATTACATTATTCATTTATTTATAATACAATAAGTATCATTAAACATATAAAATTACTTTCACGCTCATAAATGTAATAACTAAATTGCATATCAAAAATACAGAAATCAGCACTATTCATCTCATGGAATTTTCTATGATGTATAATAGATCAGATATTTACAAATTAAAGATTCATTTTCCCCCCCCCCCTTCTTTTCCTTCTTTCCGTTTTGCTTTCATCAAGAAACTATTTTTTTATTTTCTGAAAAGAGTTTTCTGAAGTTATAAATTCAAAATATGTATTATTAGATATTGTAAAAGGCTTGACCTGAAGATATTTATTTTTACTATCCACTGCAATTATTTCTCTCTCCCCTTTTCGAAGCAAGGATTAAAAGTAAGTTTGGTGCAATGTCCCTTCAATGCAATGTGATCAATTTTCGTTTCATTTGATAGTAAACTGAAGCACTTACACCACAGCTTGCTATGGGCCAGGAGGTTAAAGGCTGCGAGGTTCAAGGCTCCACAATTTCATAATAAACGGCATGATGGTGAAATTAGGGCCACATCGACCTCCCTTACTTATAAGACAAGCTGGTACTCATCGGTTAGAAGTTGCAAGCGCTTTAAACCACAACAGAACCTAAACGCTTCACAATGATAGCTCATCACTTTTACCTCTATATCAGAGAGATCGCTATTAGCGGCCAAATATTTAGGCTAGCAAATAGGTTTTGTTTCGTTAAACATTGTGGGCCAAACTACCATATTTTCCACAGAGTTTTCTGAGGACAAATAGTAAGAATGGTGAGCAAAAGTTTCAGATTTTTAGAAGGAGATAAATAAAACATACATCACGAAAAGATTTCGTAGTTTTATGTCATCAGATATGTTTAACATTCTCTTCTTGGGTTTAACCAAATCTATTTCATTCTTATGTGGAGGTTGTGTTCAAGTTTCAAGTTTTATTCATTGTACTAACAGGGACTAAAATACTGGAGAAGTTTGACGGTGAAGAGTGAGTTTTCCGAATTTGCTCCAGATTATGCCATTTTGTGCTATTCTACAGTCTTCAGTTTCAAGATTCTTTAATGGTTTTGACCACTAAAGAGCTTTAAATTTTTTAGATTTTTAAAAATTGTTCACACTTTCCATGAGAATAGTGGTGAGCAAAATTTTAAATTCGTTTGATATCTTTAGATATGAATTTTCCTCTTCTGCGCTATACTATCGAGGTTCTCAGAAAAAGAGGCCATAACAATCATGCAGAAAAAAAAAAAAAAATATGGCTTCTTTTTATGAGAGTCCCGATGGTATTAAGTAGAATCCTAGGGTTTCATGAAAGGTTTACAGGGGCTCCGAGAGTAAAGAGTTTTTTTTTTAAAACGTAAGAATTATATTTATATCCAATCAAAAATTCGTACTTTATTTAATATTTCAATTGTTGAATGAAATTAATTATGAAAATGCCAACGTAAAAAAATTGACAAAATTAATTTTTTTTTAATAAAAATATCTTTAGTAAATTATGAAAATATGTAATAGTTGGTAATCGAGTAATTTATAAAAATTCCACAAGTATTTCTCATTGAGCTTCGAAATAAACTAACTAAATTAAGAATAAAGAATTAGGTTTCTCTGATAACTATTCTCTACGCTTATAATAGTTCTTTTTGAAAACTTATAATTCAGCTTACCTTATTCATTTTTAGCATGAAGAGCAAATTCATAATATTAAATATTATGAATTTGCTCTTCATCATTATGTTATTATATCATTATGTATTTTCAATATATTAAGTAGTCTTTTTAAGTAAGTTTATCCACAACTGCTATTGAACTTTTTTTTTATATATATATTTTTATAATACCGGTTGTTTTTTTTAAAAAAAAAGCTCGATTTTTTATTGTTCCATCGGCAAAAATGATTAGAAACTTGTGGTATAGAGGTTAAGGGCACTTATCATTTATCATTTTGAAGTACACTAGAATCAGACAGCAGTGGCCGCTTGAAGCGCATGCAGCTTCAAATCGATTACGCTAAGTATTAAAGTATATGTGAAAATAAGTTTTTTATTATGGAATATGACAAAAAGAAGGGAAGAAAAAGAAAATGATCAATACGATTATTTTTTAAAATATGCAATTTTAATTATTCAGGTAGAAGGACTAAATTAAATAATGGGTCAGTAGATCGAAAATTTCTAACATATTTTTTCTTAAGCTTTAAGTAGAATTTTAAATATTATTCATTCTCACTATGCGTCTTGCATTGTTATGAAAAGTAAACACCTTTCAATACTTTCTATTACGATGTCTATTTTCATCAGAAACTTGTATTTGGAAATATAGTTACTAGTTTTAGTAATATGTAATTAGTATAACCAAGCTTCAAGGTTACGTTGGGAACACGGGAAGGGCAATCGACCACTTATTTTCGAATCGCCGACGCCTTAAAATTACATTAAAATTTTATTTAAAATTTACCCTGCAAGTCAGTATGTGTCTGATTGATATACAGTCATATTAAATAAATTCCGAAAACAGACAATAAAAAGTCGAGGAAAAAAGTTGGGCCTCGCTTGTAGAACTTACCAGAAGAATTGTGAAATAGATCGAGGTTTCAATGAGGTTCTGATTTTAGATAAACTTTTAATTAGTCGTAATTTATTGGAGCGTGAAATATCGTCAAGTTATCAAGCCATGACGACAAATGAAGATAAGATGCATTAAACAATTATAATTTTTAAATGAAACACAGCTTTTAATTGATTTCTTTTTTAAAAAAAGGACAAAATTTCAATTTTATGTAAAATTAATTTTTTATTTAATTTTTCAAAAAATTACTAATTCCTTTGAAAGTAGAACAACCCAATTCTCAATAACGTGTGATTCGATCATTCCATTTTTTCAAAAATTATTAACAATAAGTTTTAAGTAAAATTTACTACATCTTGTCAAGCGGGAAGCTGAAAAGAATTTGAGGTAATAGAATAAAATGCCATATTTTACATTTGTTCAGAGGAGCGTTTTTAGAGGAAAAACGCTTCGATTAGATTTCCATATTGGCAATGAGTTGTTAATGTGTTATTATCAGCTGTATTTTCGGGTTGTTATTTAGAAGAAGGAAATTTTGTGAGATATCTATTTGAAAACAACACTAAGGAGCAGTTTGTTACATTTTGAAAATGTATCTTTATTGCCCCAAGCCTTTTAATTGTTTTACTGTTATATAATAAAAAATAAATAAAAGTCTTTTGTTTTGAAAAAACATAAAAATGGCATGATAGCAGATTAAAAAAACATAAAAAAATTCTCAAAAAAATATTTAATACAATTTTCTAAGATATTTGCATTAAATTTTTGGATTTTATTTATGAAAAATGCTACACAGTATACCAATGCAGCAGCGCAAAGGCAAAAACCATAAATGTCACTCCCCCCCCCCTTTTTTTTTTTCTACCACAGAGCGTTGCATTTCACAATACACATCTTGTATTGCTATATTACATTGCAGCTCAGACACTAATCACTATATAGACCAGATTTCCAGTTTTATTTATAAACATTAGCTATATTTTAGTGACATTTATGATCATAACAATAAGAATAATGATTAAATTTGTACTTATTTTATATGAAAAAATATTATTAAAGTAATAATATAATAGTAATAAAATACTGGAAGGCAGCGGCAGCCATTCCTTTTTTCATGTGTTTCTGACCAATGTAATCACAATCTATAATTGCTTATTTTTTCTCTGTAAGATTGTTTGAATTTTGTAAAAATGTCCCGCTTTTTTACTTAAAAGCATAAATGACTAAAAAGGGTCTTTTAATAATATTTTAATTTAAGCCTTAACTATCATTGATGTTTTCGAAACAAAATAAAATCATAAAGAGGAGAAAACAGTATTTTAAGAATAAACATTAATATTTTAATTTAAGTCTTAGTCATCATTGATGTTTTCGATGCAAAATAAAATCATTACGGGGAAAAGAGTATTTTTAACTTTTTAAAATAAACATTAAATTGAATAAACAAATAAAGATAATTACCCTGATCTACTGACTTTAAATGTTTTCATTTGATTGAATCTCTGATTTTAAATGTTTTATTGAAAAGGTACTTACGTGTTATCCCGTGCAACATTTTCACTAAATCTGAAGATTAATTTGGAAATTATTCGTAATTAAATATTATCTCCTTTTTGCTTGCAATAAGTTATCTTTTTATTTTGTACATTTTTTACGATAAATTTCTGTATTAAAATTAATTTGAGAGATACAAAAATGAGTTTGGCGCGATGCTGGAGAAAATGGTAGGTACGTAAGTACCATTGAATCTACTGATTTTAAATGTTTTTATTTTTACCTAAACTTGTGATATCACAATTAAAATTTTTACATTGAAAAGTTATTTGCTGGAAAAAAAGGAGATGGGAAAAATTCCTCTTCCTTTTGAGGTTTATTCATCGGCTTTTTTTAAGTTGTCGTATGCTAAACCCGTTTTTTCTTTCTTCATAGTTCTGACTTCAAAATGGCATCCAATCCCGTTTATGTCATAGGCGTTGGCATGACGAGGTTTTTGAGACCAGGTACAAACAAAATAGACTATCCTCTTCTGGTGAAGGAGGCAGTCATTGCCGCCCTCAGTGACTGCAGAGTGCCTTACACTAAAATTGAACAAGCCTGTGCTGGTTATGTTTATGGAGACTCTACCTGTGGCCAGAGATCCCTGTACGAAATTGGGATGACTGGCATTCCAGTGTACAATGTTAATAATAACTGCTCCACGGGATCTACAGCCTTGATGCTAGCCAACCAATTTATTAAAGGTGGATTGAATGACTGCGTCCTGGCTGTTGGGTTTGAAAAGATGGAGAAAGGCTCCTTAACTTCGAAATTCCGAGATCGTGTTAGTCCTTTAGAAAAACATATGAAGGTATTGTATTATAAGAAAAAAAATGCATTCTTTATCTTTCTATCAGCATTATTAAAATAAGCTGCCTCGTATTACCATAAGTCCCAAATTATCAATGGGTACTTTTTAACATAAATTATAATTTTTTTAAAAAAAAACGGCTATATTTACCTGAAAAATTGTATAACAACTGAAATTCTTAACATGACCGAATTTCGAAGGCAAGTTTGCGTGAAATTTTATCTTTAAGATACTGGTGATAAATTAATTAATGCAAAATATCAATTAGGGATAAAATATTTAGACTCCGTTTTAGGAAAAACTTACCCTCAAGGACGGGATGGTTTTTTTCAGGTACACACGGATCACACGACCCCGTATTATCCTAATTATTTATTTTTTTGTCTGCATCTTCGGTAACTTCACTTAGTTTATCATATTTTGTGATTACGTAACGTGAAGTCTCTCAGTTTGAGAAGGGTACCAGCTTAGACGTTATCCATGTCGTCTAACCGGGGTGAAAACTGCATTACATTCATAACAAGTTCTTAAAAGTTAGAGCCCTTCAAGATGGGACTAGTGGCTTGATTACAGTTGAGTAGAATGTATCTCTAAGTTTAGAGCAGTATAATCGATTTCGGTGACATAAAATTCCTTTCAATTCCAATAATGTATTTTATATGACTTTGAAATCTATCCACATTAGAATATGTCGACGAAAGTTGTAATAGCTTTACTAATTACAGTATTTTGAGTCAGCCTATCAGTCGCAACTAAATTTTTTACGAGTATCTTTTTTCTTAAACACAGTTTCATAATATTTTTTGTATGTTGGAAAAAATAACTCGCTCATAAGATCTATGCATTTTATTGACTAAACTAGCAACGGGAAATTCTGTACTCACTTTAAATGCAACAGTATTTTAAAAGTTTATCCCCAATATTGCGAAAACTGAGTGATTTTTTTTATATAATTAAAACATGTACTTTTTAAAAATGAGTATTTCTAAAAGACAAGTAAAATGGGCACTATTTCTTTTAATACATTTATTAGAATTTCGAAAAAAAAAAAAAAAAAAAAAGAACTCGTGTGAAATTTATAATTGAAAATGGTCATTTCAGTATGTCAAAGTTGCAATAAGTAGATAGGCCAACATGAATTTTTTTACTTAGAGTTCACCTGTTAATAATTAATTCTAGAACTATTAATCAACTCTTAATTCTTTTTATTTCAACGAATTTCTTCTATGTTTTTCTACACAACCTCCGTAACTCAAATTTTCTAATGATTTCACGCAGAAAAAAAATGTAACGTAAAACAAAATCGCAAAAAAGCATTTAAAATTGCAATAACTTATGAAGGAATTGGAATTTCAAAAAAAAAAGGTCCATGTTAAGTTCATAAACTAATATGATCCTTTCAGCATGGCAAATTTCAACTCTTGTTGCATAGCTGTGGTTCGCATGGTGTTTTTTTCTACAAGTTTAACGGTTAATAATTCTCGAGGGTTAAGCTCTTTTTTCAATCCATTGTACTCTTGGTGCATTTTTTCACATAAGTTTCTAATTTCAAGTTTCTTAATCTTATAGTTTTTGCATCTCGAAACAAAATGTAAATTTAAGGTGAATACCCAAAACAACTGCTGCGGATCTTATGATCTTTTAATATGAAGAAAAAAAAAAAATTGTAAATCAACAAAAGCATTAAGGCTTTAAAAAAATTGTTTTAAAAACAAATTTTTTGTTGTTCCCAAATGTTTGATTAAAAATTATTTTTTCTATATCCATTCCACTTTTAATCGAAAGAGTAAAAAAAAAATTATTTATCTTTGTTATAATTAATTTTATTTCCTACATTAATATGCACGAACATTTTTATTCCTATACTTAGTGAATGAGAATTATCTTACTAATTTTTAAACGCACTAACACTAAATTTAATCGGAATAATAAAAAAAAACAAAAACATGACACGCATTAATTCTAAAATTCAGTTGCTCATATGACTTTCAGCAACAAATATTTTTTTTTTTAAAAAAGTCAAATCTAAACTATTTGTTTCATAATTTCAAAGGTTCTCCAACGGTTTCAAGTCGCTAATCTTCGATCTTCCTCGCACTTTAATGAAGACAAAAAACATAGTCGAACTTGCAATCATTCTGTTAACTTTAAGAGGATGCCATACCTAAGAAACTTTTCGTCTCAAATTCGCTTTCACCACCATGAATTATTTAAAATTTAAAGTATAGAAAAAGTTAGTTCAGACTAACCTTGAGTAAGTCATAAAGTTTCAAATGTTGAAAAGAAAATTTTAAAACAACAAAATGAAAATTAATTATGAGAAAATAAATTAGAATTACGCAACGGAGAAGTTCTTGTAATAATTTGTTTGCATTTTGATTTTTTTCTCCAGCAATTGAGACTTCATGGCTTATTCTAGGTTTGTCTGAACTCAATTTTTCTATACTTTAAATTCAGCAATGGTGGCGAAAGAGAATTTTCGACAAAAAGTTATCTCCCGTGGTACGGCATCCTCTTAAGATAGTTTAGATATTTGATAAGTACAAAAATTGTGAATATAAAAAAAAGCTGTGTGCTGTTAAAGCAACAGAACTTAGTTATCGTACTTATTTCTGATACTTTTGTTCGGCAAAATTTGTAAGCAGGAAATACTTTTTCATTTCTGCAATGGGAGAACAATTATTAGATTATCTTTAGGTTTTATAACCGTCGTTGAACAGCCGACCCAATTTTGAATTTACTACTAAAGTTCAACTCCGTAGCCTTGTAATTTTGATCCCAATACAAAAGACTAGGAAATTCCTAGATCAAGTATTTGTTCTATTTTAAAATAATTTAATTGTTATAATCTTATTTTAAACTTTTTGCAGGTACTATCAAACAATTGTCCAATCGTAGCGGCACCAATGTCAGCTCAAATGTTCGGAGCAGCAGGCCAAGAACACATGACTAAGTACGGCACTACAAGAGAACATTTTGCCAAAATCGCTCAAAAAAATCACAGACATTCCGTTCACAACCAGAATTCCCAATCCAATCGTGAATATTCACTACAAGAAATCCTGGAATCGCCAGTTGTTTATGGACCACTCACAAGACTTCAATGTTGTCCAACCTCGAATGGAGCTGCTGCAGCCATTTTAGCCTCCAAGAAGTTCGTAGAAGAAAATAACCTTCAAAGTCAGGCGATTGAAATCGTAGGCATGGAAATGACTACAGACCCTCCATCAAGCTTGTCTGAAAACAGCTGCATCAAAATGGTTGGCTTTGACATGACACGCAACGCAGCCCAAAAACTTTATGCCAAAACTTCCATAACACCACATGACATCGACGTCATAGAACTACACGACTGTTTTTCAACTAACGAGTTAATAACATACGAAGCATTAGGTTTGTGTGAAATTGGCAGGGGTGCTGAATTAGTAGATTCGAATGATAATACCTATGGAGGCAAGTATGTAATTAATCCCAGCGGTGGTCTCATTTCCAAAGGCCATCCTTTAGGTGCAACTGGCCTAGCACAGTGCTCTGAGCTATGTTGGCAACTAAGAGGTGCCGCGGGATTAAGACAAGTTCCTGGTGCTAAAATAGCACTTCAGCATAATATTGGTCTTGGTGGTGCGGTGGTGGTAGCTTTATACAGACATGGTTTTCCTGAATTTTCAAAGAGCCATAAATCAAAACTTTAATTTTTTTTCTCCCAAAGCATAATATGAACTTATTTTCATTGCATAACTAAAACTAGGCAATTTTACATATTTATAATCATTCCTGTTAACTTTTTTTCCTCTTTCAATAAAGAATAATAATAAAAAAAAATGATATGTAAGGTAGATTATACCCAAAATCCAAACAAAAGGTATAATCTAAATCAGAAATGGAAAAACTTTTTTCACTCTAAAATTAGGAAATGAATATTATAAAAGTAAAATGCTATTCAACATTATGTAGATAATTTTTACTATATAAAAATTGAATTTCTGTAAATGTTATTTTCAAATAATAAATATAAAAATAAACATACTATGGTATTGTTTAAAACAGTGAAACAAACTTGTCTTTAAACAAGATGTAGTTTTTACTTTTATACTCCTTTGTAAATTATGTTTTAATCAGTATTCATCAATTTTTGCATAATTTTTGTTCATTTTAATAAAATAAAATAATCATGTTATTTATTGATTTTGTATTTCAACCATTTTAATTAACTTTATTAAACATATATTAGCGTGTTTTGAAAAAAAAATTTAAAAAAAAAGAAAAAAAAAAAAAGATATATTTATTGCTAGCCATATATGCGTATTTTCGCTACACATGCCATCCATTTTGTCATATTTAGCATTTGTTCATGAGAAATAAATTGATGAATGAAAATGCGATGCAAAAAACTATGAAACATTTATAATGTGTTAGTCATATCATAATTTTTGCCTTATGCTGAATTTCACATGTTTTAGACAAAAATATTAAAAAAAAACTATTGCAGCTACAAAAAGTACATGAGCATTTTTGAAAAATATGACTCCTATTCTTTTATCTCTACCCAGATTCATATGAATCCCACGAGCAAAAAACAAAAAAAATTCATAGCGTGTCCATCATATGACAGTTTTTATATGATTTAAGAAGATCATATATTATTGAAGCACGATTTTGAAAAAAATAAATTTTTTTAATAATATGTGCATTTTTGGAACATATGATCCCGATCTTTTTTTTACACCAGATTCAAATGATTTCAGCTATGCAGAAAAAAAAATTGGCAGTGTCTGCAATATGAACTTTTCGTACGCTTGATTTTGCATATTTTACAAAAATATAATATTGTTGTTTCAAGTTCATTGTTGAAAAATACGACTCTTTATCTCATTTTTTTTTATTTGACACTATTTTAAATTAAGCTCAAGCTTCAAAAAATAATTTAAAAAAAATTCGTACTTTTTCCGTCATATGTAACGCTTAATTTTGCATGTTCAGACAAAGTTAAAACTTTTTAAAAATATGCTATTAATTTTTCAATGCATATATGGGTATTTTTGAAAAATGAGGAACCCATCCTTTTAAAAGACATCAGATTCAAATAATTTTGTTATGCAAAATTCAAGAGTTCGATATATGATATAGTTTCTACCTTAAGCTAGATTTTGTGCATGTTAGATAAAGCAATTTTTCTAAACAAAAATATTTCAAGGCACATATGAAAATTTTTGAAAAATAACGCACTCATTCTTTTATTAGACATCTGATTCAAATAATTTCTGAGGTGCAAAAATTCAAAATGTTCTACCGAGGTTTTGAGTGCTTTGTACAAAATTATTATTATTTTTTAAATATGCTGATTGTTTAAGGGGCCGTTCAAAAAGTACGTACACAAAAATGGAGAAATTTTAACCTCCTCCCCCTAGAATACGTACATTTTATTAGTCTACCCCCTTCTTCGTAAGAATTAAAATAATTATGTTTTAAATAAAATTAAATATTGATTTAAAATAATTTATATTAATATTACTCATTCTAATAATTAATATTACTCATTCTAACAAGTAGTCGCCGTGAGAAAAAAAGTACAAGAACAAACATGTATAATACATGTGTAGGAAGAAGTCAAACTTAAGTTTGGTGTATGCTTATAATGCACGTACTTAGTATAATACCTCCCCATCGTGCAAAACCGTACAAAATAGCAAATATCCCTGCCCCCCTTCGGGATGTACGTACTTTTTGAACGGCCCCTAAGATATATATATAGGAAGTCATAGAAATTACGAGATCCTTTCATTTGACCCAAATAAATATTGCAAAAATTCAAAGTTATGTTTTTTTTTATATATAATAATTTCAGCTAACACAAGGTTTTGTACCTTTTGAGTAAAATATCTTAAAAATATGCTACTAGCATTCAAAGCATATTTAGGATATATTACACCCAAACTTTGATTGGACATCAGAATCAAATGAATACTCTAATGAGAAACATTCATTATATGTCTGCCATACGATAGCTACCTTACACAGTATCATTTGACAAATTCAAATCTTCTTTAAAAATACATGATTGTTTTAAGTGCATTTTTCGAAATCGTGACATCTATCATTTCACTTGATTTTAGATTAAAATGAATATAGCGATGCAAATGATTTTAAGGAATTCATTTTGTGTCATTAGGGAAAATTTTATGTGTTTTGTGTAAAATAAATTTTTTTATTTCTAACATTTCAGTCATAGTATGTGTTAGGCTTTTAAACGTAATATACTAAACTAAACTCAGTGGCGCGACAGCCCGTTAAAGGCCAAGGCCTACTGTGCCCATTTCAGTTTTTTTGACCTTCGGCTCTGGGGTGCAGGAGCAGATGTTCCGGTCAGGTGGTCAGCCGAAGGTGGAGTCCCCAGTGTTTAGTTCCCAAGCATGCTTGGTACTCATTTATCGACCCACTGAAGGGATGAAAGGCTAAGTCAACCTTGCCCGGTTCGATCCCAGGACCTGTGGCAGGAGAGCGCAAAGTACTACGACTCAGCCACCGATCGTCTTAAACGTAATATAGCATGTCTTTATTTCAAAACCATAAAAACAATACCAATAAATATTTATTATTAATTAAGAATAATTTACTTCCCTTTAACTAATATTTTCAAAATTCAATACAGTTAATAGTATGTTTTTGAAGAAATCCTTTTAAAAACTATCATTTTCCATTTAGGTTCAAAAAATTACATTGTGAAGTGAGGTGCAAACAAGAAACAAATATAATCTACATAACTGTTTCAATCAACTAGTGAAATTGGAAATTAAGGATTTTTAAAAACCTTGAATCAAAACTAAAAATTAGTATAATAAAAATTTAGCAGTTTTTAAATATTGTGAAATCTCTGTAAAAAAGTTAATTTTATAATTATTGGAGGCTTTTTTTGATTCATTAAAGTCTGTTTAAGAAAGAATTAGCTTTTTACTGCCAAAGGTTAGTAGAAACTGAGTAGCAACAAAACTGAAATAAATATATAAATAAAATTTTCCAAATCTGTGATATAACATAGTTTACGAGACATGCATGAAATTAGAAAAAGCAAATTATTTTTTGTATTTCATATAAAACTACATTAAAAAGTAGATGGTCCGTTTGTGCTATTTTCTAAATATTGTTAAAAATGCTTGGCTTTTTCCTTTTAGAGAAAACAAAACATGCATTTTTCATAAGTTGCTTTTTAAAACCGTCAGTTTTGGGAAACCTGATACTAAATATTAATGCAGCATTAGTAGTACAAATCCTTTAATAATTATCAATCACTTAATAATTTATTAAATGATTGATATAATAAACTTATTTTTTATTATGCTTTGAGGCAGAAGCATTTAGTACTAATAAACTTTGAGTATAAAAAGAAACTTTATTTACAAAATAATAATATTAATACATTATTTATTTTTAGCTTTAAATCGATCAAGTACACCACTTCCTTTAGATTCTTTTTTCTTTGTTTGAGATTTTTCTTTCATTACAGATTTAACAAATTCCTAAAAAAAAGAAGAAAATATATGAAATATGACAACATGCAAGAGAAGATTAAATACGTTAAATTATTTTATATGAATAGTATTATGTTAGAAAAGGCAAATGCTTACTCTTTTAGCACTTTCTTTCACCATTGTTTTTTTTTTAAACACCTTAGCACTTTTATTTCTTCCTTTAGTTTTCGGACGGACATCAAATTCAATTTTTGGAGGTTTCACATACTAAAAGTGTAAAAAAAAAATTACAAAGATGCTTAAAAAATAAGTCATTCTTACAAAATAATTGATTAAATTTTAGACAATACATTAAATGCCACAACATGTCTTCAAATACTTACATACATTAGTAAATTGAAGATTAAAGATCAATAAATGAAAATAGAGTACATAAAATATATTTCTGACACATATAACAGTATACTTAATATTAACCATATTCCAAATAATAAAATGAAGCGAAAGTCATTGTGCCTCATCTCAAAGAATAAAACTCTCTGAAATAACACGCGAAAAATCGTAACACCATATTGCTTATATTCAGAAATTTTTTCCATAAAAATAAATTCTAAATTCATTTACACATCTGTTTCAAAATTTTGAAAACTCTATTATCACTCTGCAAATTTCATATTCTAACTTAGGAACATGCACGCAAACCATATTCAAGTATCTTCAATTTACCTACACTAATTAAGCAAGGATTTTCATTGACAGCAATTAAATTGAACTATTTGAAAACAAAAGATTTATTAATTCATGTTTTAATATTTAAGTCAAAATACTTTTCAATTAATCCAAATGCAAAATTAATTTGCAGGTTTGCCACAAATTGTACGAAACTTAAGATTTTTTAAGCTGATTTGAAGATTTTTCAAGAAGAATTATTATTTTTTTTACAGAGTTTGGAGCATCTTGTTTACAGACGGACCTACTAATGCAGAGGTTCCCAATTTTTTTTCGACTATGGAACACTAAACAGGGATTGTGCTAAGCATTCACCAACTAGCCAAATGCGATAAAATCGTAAAATCAGCGGAAAAAAAAAAAAAAAAAAAAAAAAACGGCTTTGAGTCAAGTATTGGCAAAAGAAAAAAATATATTTCCCACAGTCCTGAAAAAAAAAAAGGTCAAAGGGAATATTTCTGGACAAATCCTGTATTTTTTTATTCGATTACAGTAAATTCCATTATATTAAATCCAGATAGTGTAAGAAACAAGACAGATTATGTAAGTATGAGACAAACTACCATAAAATACAGATTACTATATTCATTGCCGGATCATGCGCTATCACGTGACAAATTTCTTGCTTAAGCAGAACCGCGACAACATAAATAAAAAAATTAGCAATTGTGAACATATTAACTTAAGAAAGACTACTAATCATTTTAAAAACATTTAAAATGAAGAATGATGATTCTAGTTTCATCAATAATTATTAAAAATTAAATTTTTCGTCAACTGAATTTATTGGGCTGGAGTGATACTTTGACTAGTTTTTGGTGTATGCAAAATCTGATAATGATATGGAATTATAATATTTATTGAAATGAAATAGAGCTGCTATAAACTTTGAGAATCAGGAAAACTTGAATAGAACATTTGGAAAAAAACAAAATTTTGAATAGAAACGTTTGAGGGGATACTAAGGTGAAATACTTTTCATAATCCATTAAATGTATTATTATTAGAAGAGTTATATAGATTTTAAATTTAGCTATTTTTTTTTCTCCATAGGTGAATTGGCTTAAAGATAACTAAAATATTTCGATTAGATGCAAATGTAATTACAAGTTTCAAAAAACATAACCGGTTAAAAAAAGTCCTGAACCCCTGTAAGACTTCTATAGAAAACTTAAAGTTTTGCAGAACACTCCAGAAAAATCTCTATAGAATTGTAGGGCTCCACAGAACGTATTTAGGGAATGTCTGTCCAGATTTTAAACCATGGGTTATTCCAGTGATTAAGTAGGAACACATATTCAAGCAAATGAACAGTATGCTATGTTTTAAAATTAACTAATTCAACATGCTTTTTTTGTTACCTTGCAACAAGTTAAAACCTTTTTAGAGGTTTTTTAAAATAATTTATAATAAAAATAACTTGAACTGGACAGTTTTAGAAAAAACTGATTCCTTACACAAAAATAAACTTTATATAAGGCTAGTTATGAAATACTTACAGCAATTGATTTCATTTTTTCCATTTTTTCTTTTAAGCTAGGCACATTTATAGATCCTAAGTGACCAGGGTCCAGAGTAATTAACTCAGGTTGAATCTAAAAAATAATAAATTCTATTACATTAAAATGAAACAATAAAGATATTAGATAGATAAAAAAAAATTCCCAACTGTGATTTAATAAATCTAAATATTAGAAAACAAGAAATTAATGTTTTTCATCAGGCAATACAATTATTAAAGTTGGTAATGTTTGTATTTTGAGAATTCGTAGCTCTTCTACCATGCCTAGGTGATCAAGATTGCAGCTTTTTTTAACCATAAAAAAGTGAAAAAAATTAGTAATAGTAAATAATAAGTTAAAATAATTTTTAAGAATAAGGGAAAAATAGATAAATTTGAGATTAACATAAAATTTTTATAGCTACTGTTTTCTAAAAGCTACTTTTTGAGCATTCCTAAATTAAAACATTCCAATAGAATATTCCATTCTAATGTAAATTTTTTTTAATAGTTTTCTTTTGAGATTGATTTTTTTGTAAATGGCTTGGTTCAGAAACTAAATTCAAATATCTGTTCACGTTCTAACAAGTGGGTAAAACTTTGATTACTGAGCATACAAGCAACAAACCTTTTTGTTCAAATATTTTGTAATTGTTAGCTAGTTACAAATGTTGTAGCTATGTTACAACAGCAACTTGTATAAAAAAAATAACTCTTATACTTTGTAATGGATTTAAATGAATATCTGTTCTATATTTTTTACAACATCCAATTATTCCTTTGTGAGATATTAAAATTCTCCATTGCCAATGAATGAAATTCTTCTGGCTCACTTTCAAACACAATATTTTGTAGCTAGAAATTTAAATTTTTAAGTCAGATTTATACTAAAAAGTTTGAAATTGAAAACCAGATATTGACTTAGAAAAGTAATTATTTATTAGTTAACAAGTTATTTTTATAGTTGTAAACAGTCTGACAGCTGATTTCAACATATTTTGCATCACAATATGAAAAACAAAAAATTGTGAAATATCAGAAGACGAAAAACATCGTCAGATATTACACAAGAAATATATATATTCTAACAACCATTATTTTTTCGTTTATTTCTTCGCAAAATTTAAAAAAAATTTATTTGAGAACACATAAATGCACTGATTAAAGAGTTTAGTATCAAAAGTTCAGGTTACCTTTTCAAGCAATGCTTTCACTTCCATTTCTCTTCGTTGAGATTTAGTCATAAAAGGATTACTTTCAAAAGCATCAAAATTAGCTTCACCAGCACCTAAATAAGAAATACCAGTTTAATTCAAATGTTTCTATGTTGCTTTTCATTTTGTGATCCAGCATTTTGAACATCCTAACTTTGTGACACTGTTAAATTTCAATTTAAGCATGCGTAAAAATTAAGTGTGCCATAATAATTTTTGCTTGTTACAATGATTCTAATGTGTTTTAAGCTAAGAAAAAATTTAAATATTTTAAAACTTAATATATTTAATGAAACTTATATGTTATTTTTAATGAAAAATAAAAAGAATATCATTCAAAGAAAAATATTGATCTCTCATTTTTTGATTTAAATTCCAATCTTTATAGTATGACGTATGACAACGGGTGAGGATGGTGAAATGTGACAATGGAGTAAAAAAAAAATTGGAAGGAAAAAAAAAATTATAAACAGCCGCAGAAAACAAATGCAAAAATAAAGAAAAAAATAGAATTTAAATAATTCAACAAATATTTGGCTTTCCACAGAAAGTTTTCCTCTTGAAAAATAAATGCCCTATGTTATGTTAAATTTAAAAATATTATTTATTATTATAATAATTATACTGTAAACCAGGTATAACTTAAAAATTGGTATTCAGTATTGACAAAAGTAATTCAGGTATAATTTATAAAAAATTTATATTGTTATAGTTAAAGAAAATTAAACTAACCAGGGTTATATTTAAATTGTATATTGGTTCGTAAACGTGGTTATAATTTATTTTTAATTTCATGGATCATTTTTAACATATAATGTCCTTTAATAAAATAATAGTATAGAATTTGGAATAATTATTTAATAAGTTTACACTTGCGTTGTGAACAATTTAAATCAAATATCAAATAACGTATCTAAAAATATTCAAATAATTACAACGTGATTCTAATGTTAAATTAATTAGTATATTCATACCTTAAATCTAATATTTAAATTCAGTATTTACTATTTCTCCGACGTGCTCGTGCAGGCCATCCATGTGACTCGAAAATCTGTTAGCAAAATTAATCTGCTAAGCTAAACAGCAATTTGGACTGGAATTAATTTTAAGCAATGATAATTGGCATTATTTAACGAAATATTTAGTTATTTAAAAAAAGGATTATAGATAATCTTAGAGAATCATGGCACTAGACTGCATGAAATTTAATCCTATCCAAGAAATTAGCAAGAGGCATAGTCAAAATTAAAGACTAATAACTTTTAAAAACAAAATTGTATTAAAACATAATTCTTGGTTACAATACATATAAAACATTCTTTGTTAACACAATACTTAGAATGTCTTAGGAATTCAAAATTTTGGTGCAACATCTCCAAAACAAAATTTCAACTGTTACAACACTTTAATATATATTATGGAAAATAATTCACATTTAACAACTTATAAAAAATTAGGCTGGGTTTAAAAAAAATTATTCGCACAATGTTATATATTAATTTTCATCGGTACATAAATTTTTATAAACATAACTGATTGTGTTTTAATCCTTAACGTATATTAGTCATGATCAGTAGAGCTTTAGGGCCTGAATTTGGTGGCAGCATTGGAACTTTGTTCTTCTTAGCAAACATATTTTCCAGTGCTTTGTATATAACTGGATGTGTGGAAGGATTAGTTGACAGTTTTGGACCATCTGGTGAGATTCTAATTTTCCAATGAACTAATTTGTTTCTATGTAATCTTTAATCTTTACTATTTTTAGGAGTGTGTGATAGATTTTCCTTTTTAAAAAAAAAAATTTACTATTTCGTATATTTTAAAGTTTAAGTAAATATTTCTCTTAAATTATAGTTGTCTTAAAACCATTGTGGACTGATTTGCAGCTTGCAGCAATATAACAATTCATGCAAAATACCTTGACATTTTCTCCTTCTGGGTTTCCTTCTTTATGTATATGCTAGTTCCACAACTGTTGGACACCCTAATGCACCATTTGGTGTAGTTCATTTATGTCGCACTAGAGCTGCACAATGGGCTATTGGCGACTGTCTGGGAAACATCCCTGAGGCTGATCCGAAGACATGCCATCACAATTTTGATCCTCTGCAGAGGGGATGCCACCACTTTGTGTTAGACTTTTTTTAAATTTTTGTTGCCAATATTAAATTCAATCGATCTAAGAAGTAGGCTATATTTGCAAGGAAATCTAAATTAAGAGTAGATTTTAAACTGTGAACACTAGTGTCAAATTAATATAAAGTTTATCTGTGTCTAGTAAGTTGAATCTGTATTGTTCATTTTATTTTTATAGTGCACATCTAAAACTTTAATTAAAATCATTCAGTTGTGCTTAATGCTCTTTGACTACATTAAGTAACAGTAAGGTGCAGTTTTTTTTCTTCTAAATATTGTAGCAATTAAATATTTCTCTACTTTAATGTAATAAATTAAATTTGTTTCATTTTTCTTTCTAAATTTAGAGAAATATAAATACTTGATATTTAATATTTTGTTGAAATTGCCATAATTTTAATGTTTTATTTTTAAATTTTAGGGAGCTTGGAATCTATTTTACCAGGAGGGCCCTGGTACAATTTCCTCTTTGGATCTGTTTTGAATTTCTTCAATTGTATTGTATGTCTCGTTGGAGCATCAATGTTTGCTCGTACTTCAGTTATTATATTCATAATTGTTCTTACAAGTACTGCATCTGTTGTGATAAGTTTTATGGCTGTCACTCCATTCTTTGTTTCTCTTCCTGCTGAAAATCATGTAGTAAATGTAAGTGTAGCAGAATATACAGGATTCAGCTGGCATACTTTCACAAATAATATCTGGGGTAAGATCCATTTTGTAGATTGCCAACTTTTAATTAGTATGATCTAATAACATTAGTTTTAATAGTCAGTGTACCTTCAATTATACAATACAAATTCTAAGCTTTTTAGATTAAACAAGAATAAAGAATTTATGAAATTGTTTTGCCTATTTTAGAAAACTATTTTGAGGATGCAGTAGTATTTTGTGTGCAATGAACAAAATTTTGAGTGACCACCGCCAGTAAAATTGATTATAAAATCTGCCTTTTTTTTTTTTTTTTTTAAATCAAGTCTGCGAGAACTGGATTGTGTCCATATCAGAACATGCTAAAACTATCCTTTTAAAAAATTACAGTTTTATGAAATAAAATTTTAATAGGGAATATTTTTAAAATTATTGAACTGTTTTTTCTTCTCTGATTAATTTTTTTTTTCTAAAATTCGAAAACCATATTTTAGGAACGCTCCTTTTTTTTTTTTTTTTTTTTTTTTTTTTTTTTTTTTTTTTTTTTTTTTTTTTTTTTTTTTTTTAAGTAATAAAATTCATTAGGTGTTTATGAACAAATTTACAGGTGTGGATAATTCAAAAATTTTAATTTTGCTAACCAAACAAGTGTGCTAATGTTTTAAAATCCCTCTAATTTAAAGAAATTTTATCTAATGTTTAATTAAACTACCAAGCGTAGATTTAGTAAGATTAAAGTTTTATAATCACTTTAGCTTAAAGTGTATTATAAAATTTTAACTTGGGGAAAAAATATTTTCTTGAGTTCAAACATTCTGGCTTTTAAAATCTACTGCTTTATTAAATGTTCTTGGAATGGACATGATTTAATATCTTTAAGTTCTATATTTGGCTTTATTTTATTAAAATTTCAAAATTCTTTTAAAGCGATACACTAGAATAAAAGCAAAAAACACATGTTTAGTAGAATAACAGTATGAATATTAAAAAAAAATTACAATCTAAACTGTCCTAGTGAACTAAAATAGTTTCTCAAGACAGTGGATATATTTTTAAAAAATGAATTTTAGTTGGAACATAGTTCAATGAGCTTTTCTTTCATGCATATTTAAGCTAACATCTACCGATATTTTTAGACCTAATCTGAATATATTCAAAAACTTGACTAAAAGTAAAAAAATTTGTAATAAAATTGTTTTAATATTAATCAATACATTGAAGAATAAATAACTATTAACAAAATTTAATTGTCAATCATTTATATAAGTATTTAGAATTCTAAGAATTAAAAAAAAATTTCATTAGAATTTTATTTAGTGTTGAGTGTTGGCTCTTGTTCAACATTGTCTTGTTGACAAGATTGACATTGAATTTTATACTATTGATAAAATAAAAATTAGAACAAAAAAATAGAATCCAAATACGCTTTATCTTTATTGTTCAACATTAATTAAAATAGCTAACATTAAAAAAGACTTAAAATAAGAAAAATCTGTCTTTGTAGTTCTATACTGCTTCCCTTACTCCTAAATCCTAGCAAACTGTATGGACCCAGATAGATACTCCATGACCTATGAAAAAGTTCACTAAGACATTTGATAAAGATGATGTCTCAGTTGTGACACAATATTTTAGGTTGCTTCACTTTTGGCTGCTTATGTATGGTTAATGGCATTGAAAAAGTATCTATACTTGGCATGAATATTTCTTTTCGATTTATGTCTCTTTCGTTTAATAATATCTGAAGAATTATAACCGTTTGTGAATATTATGAGCCAAAGAGCTGTTTCATTTAATAGTTAACTATGCTCCATGGCAATTTATAAAGCACATCAAATATGTAGTTCTGAGGCTAAACATTGTTCCAAAATAAGGCCTGCAAAGTCTGAAAAACTTACAACAGCATTTAGAAACCACTTAGTAGTCTTATGAAACTGGGTTTTGAATTTTCCACTTTTTGTGTAAATTATTTATTAATGGTTACCTTCCTCAATGTGCATCACTATTTCTGTAAAATATATCTTTTGTATGTTTACTGTTTTCACCCTACATTAGCACAGGAGTAAAGCAATTCATGACCAGCTAATGTAGTTCCCACTGAGGGTAGATTTTAGATGTCTGTATATTTAACGTTGCAGGGTAGCTCAGAATAGTTAAGTGGTGTAGTTTGAATTTATTAGCTGGGGCATGCATTGATGTTACGGGTTCAAGTTTGGATATTCCCCATAGCTAAGTTGTTTGCTATGTATGAACTTTAGTGAGCTAAATCCAAATTAGAGCCATAAGCTTTTCTTCAGCTATAGCTTTTGTTCAAAATTACAAATATGTATGTTCTTATTTATTTAATAAATTATAATTTTTTTTAAGATTTTTGCATTGATTACTTTGATGCAACAAAACCAATTTTATTGCATTTTATGAAACTTTTTTTTATAACTACATTTTGTTTTCTAAATTTTATTTAATGATTAAGAATTTTTCTAATGTATAATAAATAATCCATTTTCTATCCATCTTGTTTTCAGCAAATTATGGAGAGGACTATACAACCAGCAAAATGACTACTTTTGCGACTGTTTTTGCAGTTATGTTTAGTGGTGTAACTGGAATCATGGCAGGGGCCAATATGTCTGGTAATAAGTCTAAAGCAATTTTATACATTTAATAGAAATGTTATTGCTGATAGCTTCTTAAGTTTGAAATGCTTGTTTTTAATAATTTCATGTGTTTTGCTGTTTTTTAAAAAAAATTTCTGCTTGACAACCTCATTACCTAAATAAATAAAATATGGTGTAATTGGAATTGATATTTACTTAAACTAACATTGCTGAAAGAATGTAAGTTGTGGTATTCTGCAGAATTAATTCTTATGATCCTTAATTTTACACAAATTATATTTCTTTCTGTACTTCTCATTTAAATTATTAAATTTCTTTTTAAATAGTAGTACAAGCAAATCTATTTCTAAATTTGTTATAAATTGAAAAATCTATGTACAGTACAGAACCCGTTATCCGGAAATCTGAAAACCAAAAAACCGGAACGAAATTCGATAAATGTTCCCACCATTTTTTTATAAAAAAAAAAAATTTTCCTCATAAGATTTTAGGATTTTTCTTTCTTTTTTGAAAGATGTTTACCTTACCATCATTTTGGAAATAATCATTAGTGTATTACTCCATCGTTTTTTCTTTTTAAGATTATTTCCAAAAAAAAAATTTTTTTAGTTGGGTTTAATAATAAAAAAAAAACGGCTTTTTGTAGCGATTCCGAAAACCGGAAAAATCGGTTATCCGGAATAGCGATAGTCCTGATCGTTCCGGATAATCGGTTCCCTACTGTATATAAATATTTGCAAATTTTATTAAAGTATACAATCAAAATTGTAGGCATTCTGTTAATTCCATTTTGCATACAATTTTTTTCTTTCACTGAAATTAAACAATCGCTATTGGCAAGAAATGGGTGTTTCTAAATCAGACTATCCAAAGTTATAATTGAAATTTGTTTTATTGCAAGTTTTTTGTGTAGGCCTGGATATTAACAAATCTTTTCTCTGAAGAGTTATCCTTTGCTGATATCCATGTAGATTTACTAATTTATCTAGGTTAAGTACATAAATTATTTCTAGATATTCCTGCAAACTAAAATATGACCATGTAGATGTTCAAAGCATTAACTCTAAAAATAGAAATTATTTTAAATTTTTGTTACTTTTGCAGAGTCAAATTATTACGTTAATAGATTAATTGACACAATTGTTTTAGAAACAAATGTTTGACTTATTTTGAAGGGATTTTTCTTGAATCAAATTAATATATAACTGAATTTCGGTTGCTATACTGGACTACAAGCCACGGTTCTAATTGGTATTAAAATTAAGAATCTGTGGATTAGACAGTTGGATTTTATATATATATGTCTTTATAGTGAAATAGTAGTAGTGATGGAAGTTAATACTAAAGAATATAAATTTATATACATATATTAAACCATTTAAAATATGTACTCTATTTAAATTTCAGGAGACTTGAAAGATCCTGGCAGAGCTATCCCTAAAGGAACTCTCACTGCTATGTCTTTCACATTTGTTACATACACTTTATTATTCTTCCTTACTGCCGCATCTTGTTCAAGGTAAGTATTTAGTTAAAGAAAAGTAAAATTGTTGTATATATATCATCCTGGAATGTTGAGTAATTGAGAAGGGAGGAATTTTGGACTAATCTATTCAATTTGAAAAACATTGTCTAAAATCTTTGAGCAACAGTTTTAATGTTTTAAAATTTATGTTTTGAAAATTTTATTAAAATAGATTCCTCTTTTTTTTTTTTTTTTTTTTTTNTTTTGGTTTTTTTTTTTTTTTTTTAAATTTTCTTATCACTCTTTTTAAATATGTATCTGTTTATTACTTTGTATATTAACTGGCATAAAAAATTTTGAGCAAACTGGTATCACTAGTTTATATAGATTAGAAATTTTAGAACGGAATTGAACCAATTTTTTTGTATTATAAATTTATTAAACTTGTTTTAATAAATGTATAAGTAGTTTAATAAATAATGTTATGGTAAATTTTACTGGACTTTTTTTTCTTCCAATCTGACCGAAATCTTAATGATAATGTGCAGTTAAAAATTTTGCATTGGAGAATAGTGCGATTAGTTTCTATCAATGTCTATCTTTGGAATGATACCATTAACTCTGCGTTTTAGATTTTTTCTAAATAAAAAGAAAAAACTTTCACCTTGTTGTAAAATTTTTGATGCAATTGTAATAGCATACTTTTAAATTTATTTAACAAATTTACAATGCTGAAAATCAACTCAAAATTTAATATCTGCCTTTGTTCATCTTTAAAATGGCACTTTGCTTCAAAGTAATATATTTTTCTAAAAAATTTTTTATTTGCTGCTTGATTGAAGTTTATTGGCAGCATGAGCCAGAAGTGGCTATACTGCTTTTTTCACTGGTTTAGATATACTGTTGTGTAATGTTTACATTTTCCTATTTTGATAAAATTAATGTATAGGGTTACCAAACATAATAATCTTTTAATCAAACTGATTCCCATTGTTACTGAGAATAATATATCATAAATTTTTGTTGAAGAAAATTAAATAAAATATTAACTAAGTTTTAAATTTTATATATTTTTGTATAACTAGCTAGCAGATGTTTGTGTTTACTTAAACTAAGAATTATTTTGTAAATTTTTTCCTAATTTTCTTTTCTAGCCTTCTGTTAAAGAATAATTATCTCTATATGCAGTATATAAATCTTTATCCTCCTCTTGTGTCAGTTGGTCTGTTTTGTGCTACTTTATCAGCAGCTTTGAGTAATCTCATTGGTTCATCCAGAGTCTTGGAAGCATTGGCCAAAGATGAAATATTTGGTAATATTAAGTCTTATCTGTTTATTTGTCTAATTTTGTTTTGAACATAAGTTCTTATCTAATGAATTTTTTAATATTTCTGTACTAAAAGATAAATTTAGTAATTTGGTATTCTATACAATCAATCTAACAATATTCATTGCTTATTCAATTAATAAATTTTATTTATTTTTAATTATGTGTGTTAATGGCTGAAACCTATAGAAATATGCAATTAAATTCTTACAAAGGAGACAAGAATAAAATCTTTAGTGGCTTAAAAAAAGCTTTACTTGTCCTTTTTAGTTGAACCTTTTTTTAAGTGCTTCATTTGGCTTATAGTTTAACTCTTTTAAGTTGTCCTGTTTTCTATTAGATTATATTTTAATCAATATTTAATCACATTTTAATGACTTGAAATATGTTAAAAACATGTTTTTCAGACATAAAGCTTTTTAACTTAATTGGATTATTAAAAAAAATTTTATTTTAAATGTATGTTTAAAATATATTCATTTTCTTTAAAATTAAACTTTATTTTTAGGGCCTCTTTTGATACCAGTAGTGAAATTGACACATGGAAACAATCCTATTGGAGCTGTAATTATAGCTTGGTTTTTAGTTCAGGTAATTTTATAATACTTTTATATGGAATTTATTCCATCTAATACTTATTTAAAATTTGATTATTTTAAAATGCTTTTGAAAATTATTGACTTTAAATTTTTGCTTTCAGTTGATTCTTCTGATTGGATCATTGAATACCATTGCCCAGATAACATCTGTATTCTTTTTGCTGTCCTATTTCTCTACTAATTTAGCTTGTTTAGGCCTTGAAGTAGCGTCTGCTCCTAATTTCAGGTGATCTTTTAGTGACTTTTTTACTTAGACATTTGAAAATAACTCTAAAACATTCCTGAAATTTTCACTCTGTAAAAATTAAAAAAAATTTATTAAGCTTAAAGTTGTTTATTTAGGTTGATAGAAATTTTTAGCCTGCTAATATTTTTCCATTTTTGTTATGCATTCAAAATTTAGCTGGCTACAGGATGCGTAGAGTTTCTAAAATCCCTTAAAAAAAAAATTTTTCAGGGTTTGTAAAAGTACTTAATCTGTCTTTTAAAAAAAAAATTTTTTTTTTTTTTACTTTGCAGTGTTGCTTGTCATTCTAAATTGCAGAAATGCGCGATTTTCCACAATTCTCTGCAATATTTATCAAAAACTAGTTATTTTATCATGATTTTGTATAGTTTTTGAATTTTATTGATTTTTATGTTTTATAAATTAATAACTTTAAATGATAGAAAAATATTTTTATTACTGCACAGATCCTTATTTTTCCTTTTTTTTTTTTTTTTTTTNTTTTTTTTTTTTTTTTTTTTTTTTTTTTTTTTTTTTTTTTTTTAATACTTGGAAAGGGATTAAAATATTTGAGTGCTTAAAAAGCACTTAAAAGTTAAAAGTTGCTTATATTTTGTTGAAAAATCCTGGCTATGCACCCTGGGTAAGCTTTCTTATCCATAATTCTTCCTCTCAAAAATGTGCCTAAAGCATGATCTTAAAGTTGTTCATTCAGTGTGAAGAGTTATAATGTGATAAAAATTAAAACCTCTTTGTCTATAAGCATCCTATTTAGCTAAATGGTTAAAGACCCTTTTCCTTTATCATATCTGTTCTCTCTAGTTTGACATGAATCTGAATATACCTTTTCTTTAATGAATGCACTGTAATGTAAATCAAATTTTTCTAAACTTTAATAAATAAAAAAAATTCACAGGGAGAAATGTTTTCCAAAAGTTATTCTGAATTTTGTCAGTCATTAGCAATCGAAGTAGTTTCTCGCATATCTTTTTAGTCCTAGAAATTTCTATTTTGCCTTAATATTTTGATCACATTTCTATTTATAAATAAAACTTTAAATTCAATGAGTAATGATGCCTTCTCTTGTTAAAATAAATTATGTTTCAAGTTTTTGACTATTCATTTTTTTTTTTTTTAAATAGGCCTTCATTTAAATACTTTTCTTGGCACACTGCAATGATTGGTATTCTCGGCTGCATTTCCATGATGTTTGTAATAAGTCCCCTTTATGCTGCTATCTCCATAATAATGTGCTTGCTGCTAGTTATAATTCTTCATTTGAGATCATTGCCTGTCCGATGGGGATCTATTAGCCAAGCTTTGATATTTCACCAGGTGACTCTTATATTAATTCTTATTCACGATGTATTATTTATGGACATTGTATATAATTTAAATTACATTAAAATTGTTGAGAAAATAAGATTTAAATTTATAACAATCTTTAAATTTTTATATTACACTAATTCTATTTAGTTAAGTTATTTTCTAAACTGGTAATTATATGGTCTTGAAAAAAAATAATTGCTGTCAATTTCGTATGGTAAAAAAGAAAGTCCACTTAAATTTTGACAAGCATTGTCTAAAATATTTAATTATCTTACTCCTTTTTTTATAAGAAAAATATATTACAGCAGGTAAAGAGTCAAATTTTAATTTATGCAATTTAGTTTTGTATTTATGTTATATTTAGTAAGTGAAATGTTAAATGAGGAATCTATTTAAATGATGCTGTCAAAATATATTTTGGTAAACTTTGAAACTAGGTGTTTTTTAAAATAAGTAGTACCTTTTGGTGCACACATAAAGTAAGTTTACAGCTATGTATTAAAAGTTTATCCATTTACGGAAGAATAATATGAAATAATTTGTAAATATTTTGAGTGAACTTTTTAACCCTGAGAAAATACTGTTTGCTGTGCTAAATGCTAAGTTTCATATAGCTAAATTAGAAGATTTAAGTTCTATCTTTATCCCAGAATTAATTTGTTTTAAAGAGATTTGATTTAGGTTTAATTTTTATTAAATTCTCCTTTTTAAATGCTTTTTACATCTTTTCTCGAAGACAGAATTTTGAAAAACATTGTCTGGCTACCTTTGAGCACATACTTAAAGAAATTTTACTTTAACCTTTATACTGTCAGTATGTTCCAGTATCTTTACAAATGTTTGTTAAATCAAAGCACATTATTGATATATTAATGTGCTGTAGTAATGTTATATTAGAAACTTAAAAAAGAAAAGATTGAGAAAAGCAAAAAAAAACAGTAAAAGATACTGCCTTCTAGTTCAGGACAGCTGTGTATAAATGTTAAGCAAATTCCTTATTTTATATAAATACAAGGTTCCCACAGTCCTTAAAAACTGCTTAATTTTTATTTTTCAAAATAAGGGCACTTAAAAGCACTTAATTTTGGTACAAAGTTTTTAGAGTCCTTAATTTTTCAGTATCGCTATACTTGATAGGAACGATTTTGTCAGTCTTCTAAAATATTTTTAGAAAAGGTCTTTTTTTTTTATCACCTAGAATGAGACCATGCATTGAGGATACACCACTTTAGAGACAAAACTTTTTGCTTTTTCTTTTTGGCGTAACTGAATATTTAGCGTGATTAGACCACTACTGAATATGTGATGCATGTCTTGCAGCAAAATATTAAAACATGTTTTAATAATTTTAAATTTTTTCCCAAATTTATTTATTACTTTTTTTTTTTTTTAATGAATGAAAAAATTTGCAAATCTTAATTTTGCTATTTAATTTCAATGAAATCATTAAAAATGGAATATGGATTAGTTTCATAGATGTTAACATTTAAAAATCTGAAAATTTTTAAAAAACCCAACCCTGGTTTGCAAAAATTGACTGGTCCTGCTTTGGCGAATCCTGATACTTATTACAATTATATCAGTACTTAAACTATAATGAATTTTTTTTTTAATTTATTGATATTTTTTAGGAAAGGTAAATAATTGGTACTGTCACTGGCATTATATTCGATGATAAACAATTATACTATTTTTATGGTGCTTAATTTTTAGGAAAAAGTCCTTAATTTTTGCTTTTATTTATTTTCTCTCCTTTCAATTTTTTAAAGCTTTTCATTTTATTTAAAATGAAGTGTAAAGAAATCAGAAGTTAGAATTCAAAAAGTTTGGAAATTTAATGAAATACCTTAACATCCAGAGAAAAATTCAGTTTGAAGGTTAAATATTAATCCAAAAGCATTTGTTTAATTTTTGTAATAAATGTTAAGTATAAGATTACGACAAAAAGATATACTAAATATGAAACTTATGTCCTGTGTAACAAAAATAGGGAAAATTCGATAAAATCAGTCAGGGTAAGGTTTGGATTTTTTTTAATGTATATGGCAATTTGTTGTCATAGGCCATTACGGTACTTGGGGTGTGATTGTTGTTTTCCAGTGACTTGAATTAGACTTCTGCCACACCCATGTGTTACACCTGTTTATAGATGGGACCCATTCACTCATTCCTCACCAGATAGTACTTTTGACCTGAACAAGAGAACAATCAAATCTACAATCCAGAACCCCCAGAAGTGTAATTTGTTATGGGAACATGGAAGACTTTGTAACCAAACAGTTTTAAGGTGCACCAGTCTCCATTTACTACACGGAGAGTATTCGGCCAACTTGATTCAAACTCCTATTTTCCCGAATGAGAGCCCAGCGTCCTACCAACCAGTCTATCCCGACGCGTATGGCCAATCTATGAAAATTTTAAAGTTTGTTTTCGTAAGAATAGGAGTTAATAACCTGGCTCTAAAATTTAGATCGGTTTATTAGGTTTTAACATGTTAAAGACTATATTTTTTGAAACCGTGGGGCAGGAGACTATAGGAAACCACATTCTTAACATTAATTTTATCTGTCATTTTGGAAAATTTCTTTTCTCATTCTAATTTTTTAAATTCAATTTTTTTAGGTCCGCAAGTACTTACTCCTACTGGATAGCAGAAAGGATCATGTCAAGTTTTGGCGGCCTCAATTTCTCCTTTTGGTTGCTAATCCTCGATCCTGTCTCCCTTTAATAAGATTCGCCAACGATCTGAAAAAGAGTGGCTTGTATGTTATTGGGCATGTTAAACTGGGACGAATTGGAGAAAATGAGCTTTCGGACCCTGTTGCTGAAGAGTATCCTTTGTGGCTTACTTTACTTGATAAATTAAAGGTTTGTACCATTTTTTTTTAAAGGTATGTTTGTGACATATTGGCATGCAGAGGTGTGTAGATGTTCTGAGCAAACTCCTTAAATTCCCCTGAAAAGAGGAATATAGTAAAGAACCTATCAAAGTATAGGAAAAAGCAATGGAACAATATAGGCATGAAAATTTTATGGGATGTTTTAAATTCATTTTTATATAAATATATGTAGAAACTGATCTCTTCTAAAAACTTATTTCCTATGAAATATTCTTTTTGTGTAAACTAAATTTCTAGTACTTCATAATTAAATTTCTTTTAAAATCTTACTTCACTTAATCCACAATTTTTCAAAAACCTAATTTCAGTAACTATTAATTTAAAAAATAGAATGAGCCATTCAATAATGTATCTATCTGAAATTGTGTATAGTTATGGTTTCTAATATAATCAAGAAAAAGAGTTCTTAGTCAGAAGCTAATTATTTTATGTTCATGTTAAATCTTACAATGTAAACGGGGTTATTTACTATATAATGAAATGTTGTAAAAGTAAACACATAACTCATATAAAATTACAAAACTAATATTTTCAAATGATATTTTTATGATGACTGAACTTTTCAGAAAATAGTGAAAATTTGTGAGAAAAAATATGTAGCTGTTTAATTTCTATAGCTTTTCCAGCTGTAGTTCCCAAGCTTGATAAACAATTTTATTTTGGGGTATCGTTGTATTTGCATTCTTCAAAGTACAAGAACATAGTTAAACATAAAATACTAATGAAAAAGTACTTTCAATAAATATTTCTAATTCTTCGTTTTGCTGAGATTTTATTGCTATAAGAAAATTTTCCTAAAATTTTACAAAATGCTTGTTTCTAAAGACTCTAAAATCCATTAAATAGTTATGAAAGGTATTATGAAACTGAATCTCTCTATAATAAATATGAGACTAATTAAAAAAGAATTACCTTATTTTTGTACGCCTTCTATTTTATTACAGATTAAAGCTTTTGTAGAAGTTACTTTATCCCCAACTGTAAGAGAAGGTTTTCATCATCTGGCTCGTATTTCTGGCCTTGGAGCAATGAAACCAAACACTGTCCTCCTTGGTTTTTATGATGACATTGAACCTGAAGATTTTTTCGAAAGAGAATCCGCATTTATTGACATCCAAAGAGTAATTTTGAAAGACCAGGTATTTTTGGAGCTAAGAGACCAACCTGGCAATAGGTCACTATCTATGGAAGAATATGTGCAGATTATTTGGGATGGTATTTTCTGCTTACAGAAAAATGTTTGCCTCGCCAGGCATTTTCACAAACTAGACAAAAAAGCTTTAAACAGAAAAGGTCACAAAAAATATATTGATTTATGGCCTATTAATTTTTTTAACCCAAGGTCTATTCATTGCATTGATAACTGCTGGCAGTTCATAATGCAACTGGCGTGCATCTTGAATATGGTATCTGGATGGAAGTCTTCCGCAGTCATTAGAGTATTTATGTGCACTAGTGCGCATTCTGAGAACTCCAGCTTTCATCAACAGCAGTGGGAAAACATGTTAAGGCTGTTAAGAGTCAATGCAAATATCAGCATAATTTTGTGGGATCACGTTACAGCTCTGCTCGATAACTTTGACAAATCTGAGTCGAACCAAATCAATATGAGTTACATCTCTGGTGTAAATGCCCTGATTAGGCAGCAAAGTTCTCAGACTTCTGTATTGTTTATATATTTACCACCTCCACCACAGTCATCAAAACTGCAGTTGAATTATCTTCAGCACTTGGATGCCCTGACTGTCAATTTGCCTCCCACACTGTTAGTCCACGGAATAAACCCTGTGACCTCTACTGCTTTATGAGCTTGTACTACATATTTAATCATTAGTGTATCTATTTGTCCATTTTTAGAGAAGTTTGTATTTATTCTTTAAGTTAATCTTAAAAATGTCTTTAACCGAAGTTCTAAAAGAATATTTATTTTATCTTGATTAGTTTTTTTGATAGGTTCATCATTTAAATTTTAAAAGTTCAGTTCTCTGATTTGTATAAATTTTGAAGATTTCTCCCAAAAAATGAATTTGTAGTAAGAAAAGTGTTTGGTGTTAATGTTTTTAAATAATTTAATTCTGAGTTAAAAATGAAATTATTTTTTTGTGGTGTGAAATCCCGTGTTTCAATGTATAGTTGTGGTGGATTCACAATTTTAAGGTTTCCAGTGTTTTTAGCTAGTTTTTAAATTTAAATCTATTGATTTCAGCCTATTTTATATTTTCCATGTCTTATTTTTGAGAATGTGAACTGTAAACTTTCATTATTTTTTGTGTCTTTATATTTATTTCTTTATACATATTTATTTCTAATACATATAATGTATCTTTCATTGCTGCTTTAATAAACTAGTTCCTTTTTAATTGTTGTGGCTATAGTGCAAAACTTAAGACTTATTTCAATATTTTGTCGATTATTAAAGTTTTACGAAGCTAGAATTCAATAATTTCAACTCTTATTGTTATAAAAAAAATTTAAATGATTTAGGTTGCAAAATTAGTTTAAGTAATTTTCAACAGCTATTTCTTCCATTTATCGAAAACATAATAAAAAATGCCTTAAGTTGCAAGTTTATATTCAAAAAATTTTAAAGGTTAATATTTTGGTCACTTCTCAAATAAAATTTTCTGCACTTAGTCACCCTAGTCAATTCAAACTGTATTACTTTTTGTGATAATTTTTTTATCTGTTATGTTTTGTTGGGGCTTCCAAACAAACTGTTATTCCTACTTCACAATTCTTAAATGTTATTGTGCTTGTGATTTACTGTTGCATTAAATTTTTAATGATAATTTGTGTTGGAAAAATCTTGTTTTTTTTCCAATTTTTTAACGTTTTGAAATTTTTGTAGTTCAAAACCTATTAATGTATTAGTTTATATATATAAATATTTGCTTTTATTGAATAAAAAATTTCTAATCTGAATTTCTTGATTTTACTTTTTAATACAAGTTTCATTTTAAAACCTTTAGTACTTTCATGAAAATCTTATCTTGATACCTCTTTACAAGGGAACTTTTGAGTGGATCTTATCACATCAACACTACGAATATTGCAAGAGAATTTTATGCAGATTCAGAAAATATTTTAAATTTTAGCTAAACTCTTATTTTGAACAACTGTGACCACCCAAAATTAGTAACCATTTGGTGAGAAAGTAGTATTACAGCACACTTGACTTGGTCTGTGAAATGAATTGTCACAGGAATTTCACTTATTCTGTGCTTAAACTTGCTTATTTTTCCATTTTCAAAAACTAGATTTTCCTTTACCATGTCTAATTTTCGTCACTTATTATGCAAAATCGTGGTTTCCACATTTTTCTATTCAACGTTTTCACAATTCATTCAACCACTATCCATTTCCGTACTTTTTGTACATTTCAAAATTATTTACATTTTTTTTAATCATTTCATTAAAGAAATACTGAATTAAGTAATAAATTTTAATAAAAGTTTATGCGCCATTATCTACTTTAGATTTGTAATATGAATTAAAGTTTTCTTTGTTTGCTTAATTCTTTACTTATCTTTATAAATTCAGTATGATCACTAATATTAATCTTGTTAATATTTTGTTAAATATGCTTTTATAAATAACTTATTTAAATCTAAAATTACTCTCTATAATCTTTTTTAATAATGGATTAATTATAATTTTGAATTAAAAATTTTTACATAATTAAAGTAATCATTAATTTAAGAAAAGAAATGAGCCACTCATTATTGAATATATTTAAAATTTTGTGTAAATTGTTTTTATGGTGGCTAATATAATTTTTAAAAATAAAGTTCTTAGTCAGAAATTAGTTATTTTATCATGATCATGTAAAATCTTTAATTAATTTCTATTTTCTTTAATAATTATTTTCTATTTTGTCAATGTATATAGTGCCTAAAGAGTGGGGTTTTTTTTTGGGGGGGGGGGGAAATTTGGCTATGAAAAATACAAATTTTAATTCACATTGAAATTTATTGCACTTATTGTTACAATTTTTAAATATTGGAGAATATGTGTGCAGTACAATGTTTTAATATGTCAATGTTCTTTCAGATACAAGGAAATAATCTAATCAAAATTAATGAGTTTTATCAGTTTTTGATAGTTTTAATAATATCCTGAAATGCTTATAACATTATTAATGAAGCTACTTACATGATCAAATTTTAAGTGATTCTGAGCATACTTAAGACTTAATCTCATTAGTTTTCCTTTACCACTTTGTATAAAAGATTTAGATTATTTTGTCAAGGCAAAACAAAAACTTTACCCTTGCACATTTCAGTAAAATAATTATCTTGCTTTTTAGAAGAGAAATCTGTTAAATGATAGTAAAATTTATTTTGAATCAAAAATAAAATATTGAAGCCAAGAAAACTTTATCTTCAATATTTTCTTTGAGTTAACTTTAAATGATAAATTGCCTAATTCATATAAAATGTATTAAAAATATTTTACTTTTTTTAATTTAGCTATTCTTTTTTTGTTCTTATGCCATTTAACCTACATGATTCATTTTTAGTATTGTACAAAGCTCATATGCCTGTTATGCTTTTGTTAAAAATGACAGACTACTAAAGCTTGAAATTTGTGAAAAAATTTACTTATAAGCAGTTTTTTATTGAGTAACAGCAATGTGACTAAGACATTGCATTGCTGTGTTTAAAGCAGTAGCTAGATCATGTCTCAAAACAAGTTAAAATTAAAGGGTTAAATGTAGCAGAAAAATTTGCATATTTATTCGAGGCAATAATCTTAATGTTAGATAATGTCATAGAAAAATGAAAAGAATATTGTTGATATCTATTTAATTTATTAATGAGTAAATATATATGTATTTATTTACAAGCACAGACACTTGAGTTTATGGCATCTTAATAAATATTTGTACAGTAGGGAACCGATTATCCGGAACGATCGGGACCATTGCTATTCCGGATAACTGATTTTTCCGGTTTTCTGAATCGCTACAAAAAGCCGTTTTTTTGTTGTTAAACCCAACTAAAAAAAAAATTTTTTTTTGGAAATAATCTAAAAAAGAAGAAAAAATGATGAAGTAATACACTAATGATTATTTCCAAAATGATTCTAAGGTAAACATCTTTCGAAAAAGAAAGAAAAATACTAAATTCTTATGAGGAAAAAAAATTTATTTTTTAAAAAATGGTTGGAAAATTTATCGAATTTCGTTCCGGTTTTTTGGTTTTCCGGTTTTCTGATTTCCGGATAACGGGTTCTGTACTGTACTTAGCTTAAATAGCAACATAAAACAGTTCATTACAATAAAATTGTTAAAATTAAATAATACAGTCAAGCATATTTCTAATATGAAGATAAAACTTCTTTTTTGTTTTTGCTTAAATGTAAATCAATAAATTTATCATATAATATTTTATAAATTTATCATTCACAACGCAATGTTAGAAACTCAAAATATTTCATCAAAATTGGTGCAATATTGCTACTGTTCAAGTCATAACAATTTAAAATCTTAATTATGAGTTTTAATTTTTTGAATAATATATAAACTACTGGTTGATAAGATATTGACTATTTCAAAAGTGCTAGTTATTAAAACATTTTCTAAGGTGTGAGATGAAATACTAAATGCTTTACAAGAATATTCATTATAACTTTTTGAAGAGACTAAATTTTAATTTAACAGTTTAAGATTATCTACATTTTTCTATATTTTATATCATTTTATACTTAAAGCTCAGCAGATATTAAAATTTTGTGAAGCAATTAGATAGTTATTGAATTTTACAAAAATCTTGTGAAATTCACAGACTTTAAAGGTGAGACTAAACTTTAAAGATATTCATCATCAGGATTGGACAATTAGTCATTAGAAAATCTTTCTTGCCAACACAGAAGCAAAAACTAAAATTTATTTCATTTTGACACTACTATTATCTGACTATTATGCTATTTAAAAAGGGAAAAAATATTGTTTAATTATTAGTTAGAAAAACTCAGATATTTTTATAATTGATCTTACACATGTAAGAACAATATCCTGTAGTTTACTGAAGTTCTGCTGTTTAGAATTAAAATAAATTCTGTAATGCTACAAATTCAACTATTATTAAAAACTTTGATAATGATCTGTTAAGAGAAATTGTAAATGGAGGAGGGGGGAATTTCAATCATCTAGGATAAAGAAATTAAATAAAAGAACTTGACTAAAAGGGCTATTTAGCATTTTATAAACAGCTTTTATGTATTTAGATGAGAGTGTTGTAGTTTAGTTCATTTATGTCGCACTAGAGCTGCACAACGGGCTATTGGAGACAGTCTGGAAAACATCCCTGAGGATGATCCAAAGCATGCCATTACAATTTTGATCCTCTGCAAACAAGATGGTAGATAAGAGTGATAAAATAATATACAAATAAATATTTATAGAAAATTAAAGTTGAAACAAAAATAACACACTTCATTCATTAAAAAAAGTAAAGTCAATGTAAATAGTGTTTATCGCAAATAAAAAATTCAATTTTACCAAGATGTCTATTGTTTAAAGTACTAAGAAAAAAACTATAAAAATGTATACCTCTTCCTGTCCAATTTTCTAGCTTATACTAGTTTACAATTATAATAAGTAATGATTTCATAACTTACGAAAAATAATGATAAATTGAGTCTAGAACTAACTTTATAAACTTATTTAATGGCAAATGCTTGTTAAAACAACATTCTTAATCCTTTTTTACTGCACTACTTATTTAAAAAAAATTTTAGCACCACTGCAAAACTGCTTTAGTTATTAAATACACAGTGTCCTTGAAAATTGCATTTTTTCCATCTTTGAAAAAGTTAACATCATCTTTATAATAACATCAACTTGTGTTCATATGAAGACTTTTTGCAAAAATAACTTAAGATTTTTCTCTAAGTAATGAAAAGATTAGCTAAAAAAATTGTTAATTAATTTCATATTTGTATAGAATGCATTTAAACTTGTCTAACAATCCAGTCAACAAGACTGTTGTCTAATCATAAAAAATAATCACATATCTCAATAACAACTACCAAAAGAATTTTTTAAGCTAATTTCTAGGCTTTAGCAATGTAAATTTAGAATACCTTAAAAATAAACACCAATTTAGAGAAAGATTTCATAAAACTAAAAAGAAGTACTGAAAAATTCCCTTAAAGTTTTGACAAAGGATAGTCTTTATAAAAACAACAATTAACTATAAATATCTTTAACAGCAACAAAATAGTTACTTATAGTTATCTTTATTTTTAGTCTTAATAAGATTTATATTTACATATAAGTTAGCAAAAACATCAAATATAGAAATATCACATAAGACTAAGCAGCACCTACTTTTTTTTTCCTCATATTATATAAGACTAACAAGCTAAAATCAACAGATCAAAACAGATTACTACATAAAAAGGAACTGAAGCATGTTAGGAGTACACAACTTTTCCTGAAGTGGTGCAGTTTTTATACTAATTAATAAAATCTTAATTATTTGCTGTTTAATATAGTAAGAATGTTAATTTGTCTTAAGCATTACGCAAAACAAAATAAGATAGGAATATACAACTTTTTTTAGAAGTGGACCCCAGGATGAAAAATATCGGATTTCCGAATGCCACAATAAATTCAATTCTAAATCTAAACTGAATTATTCTGCTTTATGTAGTAAGAACAAGACTAATTTGTTTTTTAAAAATTAAGAGACAAAGTGTACACATATCTATACAAGCGTATTATTTTTAAATTATAAAAACATATGAGGTTTTGCACACTTTGTCTTTTTCAACAAAATTAAATCATTCCAGGTTTTTAACTTACTTTGTGGAAAAATTAATTTTATAACTTTTCACTGTCTTTAATTATTTACATAATTTATTTGTTAAATCTTAGAAACAATTTTGTCTTGAAATACATTTTCTTTAAAAAAATATATATAAATGTTAAAAGATTTAACTCTTGACGCTTCTATATTTTGTAGTTATAATATTGTTTTTCAACATTTATTTAAATAAGAAAATAAAAAGCCAAAAGTGAAAAAAAAATGAAATATATTATGTTAGTCAGGTGGAATTTTACAAATAATTTCGAGATAGAAGATAGTTGGCTCCACATTGACAATTCAAGGGACATAAGTTGTGTACTCCTAATTTACAACTAAGCATGGCCTGAACTTCTCTGCTCATCCCATACTTTCTGCAGCTCCTCTGGATCGCTAAATCCATGAGATGCGATGACATTAACATAAGAATCTTTGGTATAAGGCTCCCTCCAGAAATAGAAATGATCATTATGCAAAGGTGAAATTCCACACTTTTTTGCAACTATGCCTAAATAGACATCATCAAAGCGAAAATGTTTTGTAAACATACTTGTATAATACATATCTTCTAAGGCCGGATATGATAATACATAAGCGCCAGCAGTCACATATGGAGGGTATTTAGAATATGGGTACTCCGAGAGAGGCATATACCACTTGCTTGATTTATGTCTCATCGGTGAAGAATTGAAAACATATCCAGCTAATAATCGTCCATCAAAAGCACTTAACACAGGATCATATTCAAACAACTTTCTAGAATTATAAATTAAGTTACTTGACCCTGAAGTTTGCTGAGATAATTCAGGTGCTTCAGAAGCTTTAGAACTACTTCGATTACTCAGTAAAATTTTTTCTACATCGCGACGTTTTCTAAAACCAACCCGTCTATTAAATGGATTGCGAATAAATTTCAGCAAGTTCTTCGTGGATATGTACATATCATCATCTGCAAACATGACAAATTGAACCTTGGGACAATTTAGAACAACCCATTTAAAACTCATCATGGTTTTAATAGTGTTGTTATAATAGCTATCAATAAACTCAGCTTGAACAATATCTTTATTTCTAGCATATTCTTCATCAATATCATCTTGCAGTGCAACATCATTTGTTGTACCGAGGACAAATATTCGTTTGATAAGAACATCAGAGAAGCGATTTTCCCACCCCCATGTTTTGCGAATAACATCTCTCCTATTTTTGTGGTTCGTAGCTGATTTGATTACATATAAAATCACAACCTTTTCATGGTTTTTCATTAAGAAACCTTGTAGGCATTTCTTTTCATTACTGATTCTGTATGGAAAATTATATTCATTGATTGGTTGATAAGGAACTTTTCCCCCTTTTCTTATGGTTGCCAGCATTTCTTCCATGTTGATGTCTAAGGGGTAAGAAAATTTGTTGTAATCAACTTCAAGAAAATGTAATATCAATCCTGAACGCTCGATGATAAAAATAGCTATAATTCCCAAAATAAAATATAAGATTCGTTTTCGAGAAAACTGCAATCTTCCCCATGATGTTGTTAGTGTGTGCATTATTATATAAGTTAACCATACCAGTCACTCCACACAAAATCTGAAAAATAAAGCAAGAATTGTAAATTGGATAAAAAAATATATATATTTCTTTGAAGACGTTTAAAATTTTTATTTTCCATAATTTTTTTTTCAATTTAATAATTTAAAAGAAAAAATATTAACATACTAATTTTGACTTAAATTGGTTATTGGTTATATTAAGTTTGTAATGAACTGGGTATCTTAAAAATTACTAACAATGAAAAGAGTAAAATAAAAGAAAGGAAAAACAAACATTCTGCTTAGTAAAGAGAATTTATTCTCTGTTAGGTAATAAATGCCCAGTAGTTTCAAGAGTAAAGTTCTCATAAGTTTTCTTATAACTTTCAAATGTGGAATACTCATAGATTTCTGTATCAAAATTAGTTACCAAGATAGCCAACAGATGGCACTACTAACAGGGACAAATTATAAAAGATTAAAAATAACGACTAATTTCAACAATAAAATAATGAAGTTTAAGGACAAAATTAGCAGGCATCTATGCCCACATTTTGAGTCTGATAAGGGAAAAAAATTAGACAATATTGCTAAAACCACCACTGTTAACAAACTTTAAAAGTAATTTTGAAACTTTATGATTTCAAATTTTAGACAATATGTTTTAAAACTGTAAAATGCAACAAATCATACTTTCTATCCACTGTTTTTTTTTTTTGTTTTTTTTTTCCTAATTGATTTTTCAAAGCTTTGATTATTTTTGGAAAAACTGACAACTTTTCTCAATACAGCTTAAATCTAAATTTGTAAATCATAAAATTTGTAATCATAAATTTGCATATCATGAAAGAATACTAACATTATTAAAGAAATTCATATAAAGGTTAACTTCTACTAGAACATATAGTTACAAATATCACATTTGTCATATCTAAAACTGCAAATTATCTTTCACAATGTGAAACTAACACAATTGAACAACAAAATAAATATAACTTAAAACAATATATTCTAGAATCTCAAGAAAATCTTCTCATGTATTTTCAGAAAGACTTCTCTTATTTAAGGTTTATATTTTTAGAACATAAACCAATCAAGTAACAGGCAAATAAGTCAGATATCTACTGAATATTACAATAATTATTGCTTGAAACTACACCTTTATAAAAGCAGGGGGAAAAAATTTAACAACAAAGTATAATTTATTCAACCATTTTTTGCAGAAAAACGATGAATAGTTACATGAACTTAATAAAATAAAGTTACAGAAATAATAAAAAAAAACTTCAGATCGTAGATTATTTTCATATCAAGTAAGTATTAAACTCTAAACATTTTAAATAATGTTTTACATTTTACAAATAATAAGAGACGATTCTTACATCATCTCATTAGGCTTCACTGTTATGAGGTATCCATGTTTATGTAAGCACACATCATTTTGAGAATAGCCTCAAAGTTTACTAATATTTTGGTAGTTACAGGAAAATGAAAGCTTATTATCAGAAAAAAATTTGATGTATACAAAATCAAAATGAACCATTTAAGAACTACAATTACAAAATATCTATCAAAAATGTATTTTTTACAATCTAGAAATTTTAAAATTAATATTTTTATCGATTTTTTAATTACAATATGTGAAGTCTTTAACCTAATGCTCAGCTAATATGGTTGGATGCAAACAAACTACCATAGAACTAGAAAGCAAAAAATACATCCATAAAATTATCCTACATAAGCTAATGGAAAGAACTCATCACACTTTTTCACAATCTAAAATTATCATATATTGTTTGAACCACAGTATATGTGAGAAATTTAATAAACATGTTCTTCTAATTAATATTTTTTTTAAAAAAAAGTAGTCAAAATATTATTCTATCATCTTACCAAAGTATAAGAAGAAGTTTTAATAATACCTTTTATCCAAAACTCTTTAGATCTAAAAAGTTATACTTTACATGCAAACTTTAATATCCATGTTAAAGTATTTAAAAAAGGAATTCATTTATCAAACATAATCAAGAAATTTCTTTGCTTCATTAATTTATGCATTTTTAATTAAAATTTTATAAAAATCACCAGTGTTTTCACTACAGCGCGAGAACACGAGAATCTCGCATATTTTCCTCTTTTCACGCATTAAAAAATGATTACCGCGAGAAATTCGCGCATTCTATAAATCAATTTCAAAATTAGCGAATTTCTCACATTTTGGAAAAAGCTTCGAACTACGCCATTTAGAATAAAATCCGTTTAACTTTTCTTCCTGGATCTTTCATTATTTCAACATCTGCCCCGTTATCTAGCTTCCCTATTTACCAGCATTGTTCAGAACCTTTTCGTACAACAGAACATAAGCACGGAACCCCTTTCAGAACACATTTCTCACCAACCACGTGTTTACCGTAGGTTAGGTTTCTTCATGTAAGACGTTCAAATTTTTTATGTATTAATGTAAGATGGACAAATACCTTGTAAAGGCAAAATCTTCTATGATGATGCACCAAAAATATTCAATGCTTTAAAAAATAGAATACGTTAAAAATGTATTATAATTAAAGAAATGATTTTTTTTCAAGAGTTTTTGCGTTTTTTTAGTTTTTAGAAATCTCACTTAACTTTTTAAAATCTCACCCTGTTTTTGAGAAAGGGTGAGAAATTCTCACCCATTTTTTTTCTATGATGAAAACACTGATCGCCGTTTTTTTTTTTAGACGTAAAAATATTTTTTAGGAAACAAAGGTAGTATTTTTTGTTTGCAAGCTTGAAATTTAACTTGATGACTATATTACATATGATAATTTATTAAAGTGTAGCAAATATCAAAGCAAATTTTACAATTATTAGTTCAAATGCTTTTCTGTGCATAGAAAAGGTTAGCTTTCTATGACTGAAAAATTACACTTCAATTATAACACATTTCAAGACGGATTCTTTTATATTTATAGTGGAAATATATTTCAAAGATATATCAAAGATTTTCATGAATTATCTCTAATTTTTCCAAAAAAAATGAGTTTTTATTTTGAGAGAGATACATTCTCAAGATAATTCTTGCTTATTTTGAATGATAACCACTACGTAAACAATATAACAACTGATGGAAGGTTATTGAGAATATTTAAAATAAACTTCACAACTATCCAATTTTCTACAGCTTATATTTAACAATAAAGTAAAATAATTACATTATCAAATATTCTTTTCCATGGTATTAGATCAGCCCCATTTTATAACTTCTGAAGCATATTGTTTATACGCAATCCATGAAGATAACAATTACGCTTTGATCTAATTTACATTTGCAATCGAGCCAACGTGATCGTTAAATAAAGTTCATTTGAAGTGAAATGGTGAAACTTATTGATCAATTGATATTGATTGAAAATGATGAAATTTTGTTTTGGAATTTCCAAAAATATGAGCCGACGGACAACAAGTCTTGTTACAACACTAAATTAGCTAGTATTTACTTTCAAACATGACAAAATTTACTATTAAAATTCGTTTTATTTATTAATATTTTATTTTTTCAACAAGTATTCAATTTTTTTATCAAAACAAAATAATGTCGGGAAGAAAATTTATAAAACACAGTTCCCTTTGCTGGAAGGAATTTCATCATAAATACAATACACTTGCTCGAAGTAGTGCAAATAATCAATTGTTAAAAAGTGTAACTTATACCGTTCATGGTCAAAGAAATATTGCTATTGTTTTCCGTGTCTTAAAAAATGCATTGAAGATCCGCTACATAATTTTGGGATCTGCTGTTGGTGGCGGAGTCCAGCTATCTAAGGTAAAACTTAATTTTGATTTTTAGAGAGCAAAATCAGACGTAGCTCGTTATTGAAACTAAGATGATTCATTAGTTTCTCAGCCTTTTTATTATCCTTATTTACAACTTTCTAAACTATTTTTAACTTTATATGTCTTTGAAATGTCACTAAAACATTGGAATGTTGAGCAGAATAAAAGTAACTAATTAAAATTATGTGAAATTCCATAAGAAAACTTATTGTATAAGTAAGGACAATTCTTGTTTTATACAAGTAAATGAAATAAATAATAAGTGGACTCTGGTTAAAAGGTATTATCTTCTCTAACTAGATTATAAAATGAACATAGTGATTCTAATTGTAAAAGTTTATTTTCCTTTCTAAATAATTTAAAAAGCCATGTCACTGATATATTTGTTATAAATCACGTAATGGTATATATTAAAAGAAAGGGATTGTTAATGTATGTTCTCAGTAGTTTTAATTTCTGTAACCAGGCAGTTTCTCAAGTAATAATTGTCTCCTTTTTGTGAACTGAGGAAAATTATAATTTGTAGCTTGATTTTATCAATTGGTAATTTTGATTTTTACTAAATGTTAAATATTGATGTAATCATTCATATATTAATAAATTAGTACAAATTTTTATGTAAACGCATAGTTATTTATTATCTTAAAGTGCCTGGAATTTATTATTAAATAATTGCACACATTTAAAATTTACTCGCGTGCAAGTTCAGCTTTTTTGCCTTTTGGCCAATCACATCCCTGATATGTATTTTGAAAGTTTAAATCTTCTTACACCACTTTTATCCCATGGGCGATACATTTTGAATCCCTCTTATAATAAATAAGTAACTATCGCAAACAGCCTATAGCATATATCGTCTGGAGAATTCAGTTAAGTTATCAGCCATTGTTAAACATTTATATTAAAAGAGAATGCTGTAATTTTTTTGTGACTTTTTTCCTCACATTAAAACTTAATCATCAGTGTATTAATTTCTTCAATAGGAAATATTGATATTTGAATTATGATATTTATTATAGAAATATGAAGAATGGAAAGACCAGTTACCAGATTTTAGTTGGATATCCGACATGTTACCACCACCTGAAAAATTGGATGAATACCGAGATGCTATTATTGATCTGAAAAATCAAATCAACTTACCAGATTTTGATAAAGGATGGATGAAGAAGAATATGGATTTTTTAACTCTTAAATTTGAAAACTGGCGAGATTTGCTGGAAGATGATGCATCAGATGGTGACCCTACAACTTTGATTGCAGAAAGTAAAATCATTCATTCAATCATTCTCCTTAAACAAATTTTAGTAAAATTACTTATAATAGTTTAATGGCATAACAATAGTTTAATATGTATTTTTAAATGGTTTATTTCATTTTATTTGGTTAAATTTCTAGAACATTGTTTATTCTAGATCTATCTTAAAAAGACCAGGGCTCTAGAAGCTAAAAAGGGCACTATTTCCCCCTACAAAAAAGGGCATTGTTCACAAATATTCGCATAACTTTTAAGGCTCCGAAAATATACGGGGGGAAAAATTTTATCATTTAAAAAAAAATATTATTAAATAAAAATTTTAATTAAAAATAATTCCTCAGTTAAGTTTTCACTTTCTATAAATTAACTTTAAAATGAGCGTAATTCTCAAATTTTGAAAATTATGCATGTTGTAATAATAACTTACTAAACTTACCGGGATTTTAAAAACGATAAGTTATTATAATAACTGCTGAAACGATTGAAAATTAATATGAACTTACGTTGGAATTGTTGTGAATCAAGCTTGTGAAAAAGTGATTACTAAAATATGAAATACGTTAGACATGAAATTGTATTAATTACATCAGAATCCAAATAATCGTTAGGAAATAGTCAAAGCATGACAAACATCTGCTGAAAGAAACAATCCATAAACGATGTTGATTTACGGTGGAATGTATGCAAATTGAGAATGGTAAATGTCTTGAGAATGTCTCCTTAAAGTGAAAAACTTGTTCATAGTAATAACATCATACAACAATTATCAAAATAAGAAAAAACAAGTAGAAATTGCCAAAAACGACGTCAATTATGATGGAACCGTTGCAAATTGAATTCCTTAGAAAGTGATAACTCGAATTCAAAATTTAAGCATAAAAAAATTATTCTTATTAAATCTTATAAAAATATCGGGGGAAACATATATAAACCCTATGCGAAAGGTCGATAAAATTATAAATAACTGCCAAAACAGCTACTGTATAGGATCCCAAATCCGCCCCTCACGAGACCAATGAAATTCCGTATTTTGAAATTTGCCGAATTTCGGAATTCATTGGAAATGCAGGTGTTTTTTACTTTCACTTTATTTTAAACTGCTTTAGAAACAGATGTTTCCTTTAACACAGATTTTTTTTCATGCTTTTTTTTTATTTATAAAAGATAAAGTAAAGTTACTTACTCCAACAGAATAAAATTCCAAATAAAAAGAGAATAAAACTGATTTTTTTTCTCCTATTAATTAAAATTTCTTTAAAAAAAGAAAAAAAAAATAGATTAATTGCCGAATTTCGTGTCCTGCCGGATTAGAGGTCCCATACTGTATTAGGTTTTCCAGAAAGTTCGTACTCATATTATCTAGTATTATATACGCTAACTTTCTGAACGATCCAATATCATCCAATGATAGGAAATTATAACAGAATAATCAAGAATTGAACGTTATAATAGCACCATATTAAAAATATTGGAATTTTAAAAATTGCATGAAGGAAGCCAATAAAATTATAAATAACTGCCGAAAAACTTATCAAAAATGGTGTGGAATTGTGACAGAATTGTCACGAATCAAACGCATCAAATAGTGATTACTCAAATTCAGACATTGTATTAAACATAACAGTATTTGAAAAACCATGTAAAAGGGCCAAAAAAAATTATAAATAACTTATGAAAAAAACATTGTCAAATGCAGTGAAATTGCGATAGAATCATCATTAATCGAACTTATCAAATACTGATATAACATGAATTTGAAATTTGCGCACCATAACAAAAACAAAGCTGGAAAATGTCAGTTTTTAAAACAATTATCATCAAACAACGAGAAATTTTGAACGAATTGTTCACATTATGTCCATGTGTAAAAGGCCGTAAAAGTGACATCTTACAAAAAAATTATTATCAAACGAAGTGAAATTACAATGGAATTGTGATGAATCAAGCACATTAAATAGTGATAACTCAAAGTCGAACATTGTATCCCAGTAAAAATATCAAATTTAAAAAACCATGTAAAAAGGGCTGATAAAATAATAAATAACTGACAAATCACATTATAAAACGTTGAGAGATCGTGGTAGAGTCATCACGAATCAAAGGCATCACATAGTGATAACTTAAAAATTGAATTTAGAACGACATGATAACATCGTATTAAACATTCTGTCATTTAAAAAAACAATGTAAAAGGGATGGAAATGATAAATAACTTCCAAAAAACCAACTGCAGTGAATTTACGATAGAATTGTCACGAATCGGAACGTATCAAATAGAGATAACGCTAATTTCAAAGACGTAATAACATTGTGTGTATATATATAACATCTAAAATTATAGCTTAATAGATTTAAATGGATTTTAAAAAAGTTTAAGCTTTTTTTACCTTGGGGGTCTATTATACGGACTTCTGGAAGTTCCATCGATTCTTGATACGTGACTTTCCACTGTATATATAAATATTATACTATATAAAGTATGTGTAGACAAGCCTTTCTAACAGATGAGAACTTTAAACAATCTCTTTCACATAATAAACTAAGCACTTCACATATATATTATCCTTAATTGAATAGAATGTAAATCTTGATTTATAAAAATGAGTCCATACTACGTAGTAAAATGCTTCTGTGAAACCAAATATTATTCAAATTAATAAATATTTTGAGATCGTAATGCATCTTCATCCGGTCTTATGATTACATATTATGGCGTCATTTCTAACAAAAAGTCGAGGTATTGTAGATCACATGATATGAAAAAGTAATAACTATATACAGCTTGTAAAAAAAGTGTGCACTTGCCTTTTGAAAATGGTACAGTGAATTTGTGTCCAGGAACTCTGCTCCATGTAAATTTTTTGAATAGTTTTTCTTTACTCTTTTCCTCAATAAATGCTTTGAGAAAATTATTATGGAACCATTATTTCATAACAAGAAATATTGAATACGACTTCAAATATTATAGTGCAAATATTATAGACTGCGATATTATAGTATAAAAATGTATAACTCTGCACGAAAGCATTACATACATATATATATATGAAGAACGTGCGAGAGATACACTCTTAAATTGTTGATCCAAAACTCATTGCAATATAGAATCTTTTTTTCTTTTTTTTTTGTCAATGTTATTTAATAGTGAAACAAAGTTCTAAATATAAATTCTTTTTAACTAATATAATTTTTCTAGATTCATAAAAAATTCTGTAGTTCAAATTACCTCTTGTTACCCTGCACGATTTATCTTTTTGAAATAAATCAATCAATAAAAATTGCATGGCTTGTTACATATGCATAAGATTTGTTTTACAATTTTAACAAGTTTTATATTAGAATTTTTTCTGGCTTTATTAGGTCTGTTAACTCATGGTGGAGAAAATTTTAGAACTTTTCCTATAGGTCTGTGAATTTTATTTTGACTATCTCTTTATATTTTTTTTACTTTATTATTTAAACAATGTTCTATGCAAAACTTTTATTTATTTTCCTCTATGCTTTTTTCTTTTTATGTTATGCATCTTGAAATTTAAAATCTTTTGGGCACAAATTGTTAATTTGAACTACATTTATGTTAAATTGTTTTTATAAATTTATTAGATTCATTTATCAGAATTAAGTAATTTCAATAAATTTGCGAACAAATTTGGGTTCTGGGTTGTAAAATTTTAATGCTAATAATTCACCAAAACAATTTAAAAATTTTGATTCTGAACATTATATAGTAAGAGAAACATCATCAACAGGGTTGCAAAAAATCCGGGTTTTTCGAGAAAAACCCAAACCAGGTGGATTTTATTGGGCTTTTCTGGGTTCTATTGGGTTTTTCATGTTTTATTGTTTTTTTTGTTTTTTTTTTTTGTTTTTTTTCAAAAGAGAGGGCAGGGATAAGTACTTTATTTTAATATTAATAAATAAGTTTAATTTTATGAATTGACTTAACATATAGGTCATTAAAGTGTAATTAATATAAATAAATTGGTGCAAAAGTCTGAAAAAAGTTTCTTCTGACATCACGATACAAAACGTTCCATGTACTCACACACATTTGAAACTTATTTTAACCCTTTGTAACTCAACAACTCTGATTTAAGAAATATTTACGCAGATGTTAGAATACATCATATTAAGCATGTAAAAAATAATGAAAAAATTAAGACCTTAAAATTAAAAATTTATTGATAAAGAGCATTTGTTGAACATCTCCACTATCGTGAAAAATAGCACAGAAATGCCAATATATTTAAAACTTCATGTGAAAAATTTTGAAACTGTTGTTTTTATGGTAACAAAGTCTCACACCACATTTTTCAATCCCTCCTTAGGCAAACATACAATCAAGGGGATTTTTGTAAAAAAATTGTATATCCTGCAATTATGTCATGGAACAATTCTTGCTTAACGCATTATAATATTGGCAGCTGCACCAAGACTTGGTTCTCCCGAGTTTGCAATATTTTTTTTACCTGAATTTGGTTCGATTTTATAGGTAAATTCAGCTCATTATATGATTGAATTTTCATGTATGTTGCAGACATGTAACACGGTGATACAAAGGGTTAACATAGGATTACTTTTTATTTATATTTTAATCATAAAAAAATTTGAAGAAATAATGTTTTTTTTTTTTTTTTTTATGCATAGAAAGCGAATCAAAGGCACTTACTAATCAATGGCTATCTAGCCAGCAAGGTGACTCTCCAGTCCTACCAAACACAGTTAGTTTTTTCACCATAGGTCCATTTTTTTTAGGCTAGACTACATATATATTTCAATAGAATAACTCTTCGATATAACAGAGGATGAAAAAGAAATCAATTTTAGAAAAACCCAGTAAAACCCACTTTAGAGTGGGTTTTTCAGAGTGGGTTGGATTAGATTTTAATTTAAAATAAACATAAAGATGAAAATGAGCCTGCATATTTCTTCAGAGTCATCTTTTAATTCATTTTTTTAATACATTAAAAATAAAGATATCAGTTCACTTACACCATGCAATACAACATAAGTTCACTGAACTTATGTTGTATTGCATGGTTTCTGTTGTACCTGGTTTATTCTGAAGTGTTGGTCAAAGTGTTTTAAGTACAGTACAGAACCCGTTATCCGGAAATCGGAAAACCAAAAGAACCGGAACAAAATTAGATAAATTTTCTCGCCATTTTTTTTTAAAAAATTTCCTCGTAAGATTTGTCTTTCTTTTTTTAAAGATGTTTACCTTACCATCATTTTGGAAATAATCATTAGGGTATTACTTCATGGTTTTTTCTTATTTTTTAGATTATTTCCAAATTTTTTTTTTTTTTTCTTTAGTTGGGTTTAACAATAAAAAAAAACGGCTTTTTGTAGCGATTCAGAAAACCGGAAAAATCAGTTATCCGGAATAGCGATGGTCCCGACCGTTCCGGATAATCGGTTTCCTACTGTACTAAAATCTTGATTTTTAGAAAAGTGTACCATTGTAAAATTACATTTGTAACCAGCCAGCCTCTAAACCAGAGGTTTCCAACCATTTGTTGCCCATCACCCCTCTCTAGAAATTGGCTGACATTTATTCCCCCCTTTTTCTTTTTGATTGAAAAAGATGATACATTGTTGCAAGTGAGCATCAATAAATTTGAATACTTGTTAAATTAACCTGATTTTAATTTTAATTAAAATGTAAATAATGAAGCCAATCACTTTAGAAAATTAAAACATTGTGTGTATCCCTTTCCCTTTTTATTCAAAAAGAGATAATTGAAGTGAATTAATGTATACAAGAGTACATTTAAAAATAAAAAAATTTTTAAAGGTATTTTGGAAAAAATGAAAGCGTTAACTAAAATGTGAGAAAAAAACTGAAAATTTTAAAACTTAATTGTTCATTCTTACCTCTTCAATGTCTACCTTGCGCTTAATGGATTTCAATTAAAGATTGAATATCAGAATTTTTGTTTGTCAAATTTAAGCATCTTTGAAGTAAATGTCCAACCTCTTTGTTTTGTGAGAAACTGGAATTCCGAACTAAATCTTTCTAATAAATATGTTGACGGGACCAAGATGAAGGACAATTCGCTGGCCTTTTTTATTTTTTTTATTACAACTTTTTTTCCGATTAATACTCATCGCCCACCTGAGGATTATAGCCCCGCTAAGAATTCGTATTGCTCCCTCTAGGATGATCACCCCCAGGTTGGGAAGCACCGCTCTAAACCAACTGAGGTCTCAGGAGCACCCTGGTGGTCACTGAAGGAACCTTTTAAACCATGTCTACTTACATATAAATGTAGTGTGAGTTTCGGAACTAAAGTTGACTTTTCCCCCAAGTTTTGCATAATATTTACTTATTCCACCCTTTATATTAATTTTTTTTAGAATACCTTTGTGTGGTGTTGTGTATTTTGTTTAATTAAATTATTTTTACAAAAATGTATTACTTGGAATTTATTTATCTTGCCACTCACACACTATGCTAGATTCTTTACTCTGTAGATAGAAGTAATTAGAATCTGGAATCTGTAGAAGTAATTGCAATCTGGAAAATATGGTCCTTATAGTTTAAGCAAGAGAACTGTCAAATGCGTCCAAATGTTTGGACACCTTAATATGTTCACCTTCTGCATATATATATATGGGTCATTCTCACGAAAACTGTCATTTTTCAGTTCATAAAATCCCAAAAAAGTAAAGTGAATAAAAAGCTCTGAAACTTTTCATATTAATAGAAATATGTAATGGCATTATAAAGAAAGTATATATCCTATAAATTATACTTAATATTTAAATTAATTAATTTTTTAAATAATTAATTTATAATTAATTAATTTATAATAATTAATAATTAATTAATTAATTTAATAAATAAATTAATTAATTTAATAAATTAATTTATTAATTTTTTAATTTATTTTTCAAATTAATTAATAAGTAAATTAATTATTTTCACTATTTAAAAAGTGAGGGAATGACACTAATAGTGAGGGAATGATATTTTATTTTAATACATGTTTTTATCTAAGTTACATCTACCTAAAGTTTGAAAATGATAACATACTAAGTATATCTAATATTTATTATAATTTAGTCTTATATATTTAATAGTTTTTACAGGTTTGGGAAATAAAATTGGCTGGCACGATTGAACAAAAAAAAATTTAATAATATACTCATCTTGAATCATTCCCTCACTTCAGCGTCATTCCCTCACTTTATACACTAGTGAGGGAATGACGAATTCAATAAAATTTAAAAATAACAGTTAGGCCTAATTAATTTCTGAAGTCAATCACATACAATTATATTCATACAAGAAAGCAACATATAATTATCCACTTTCTCGATGAAGTTGTATTTTATTTTACTCTAAAAAATGACATGAGGGAATGACAAATGTAAAAAATTTTACCTGGTTTGATTCATTCAAATTTATTCCACAGCAAAGCTTCTTTAAGTTGAAGATGGAAACATACTGCAATTTTGTTCTATGATGCCAGTTGTTAACTTCTGAAGTTTTTATTAAAATATTTTTATTCTAAGAAGATTGCAGGTGATAAGAACATTGTTGTGAGGGAATGACGCGAAACACTGGGGACAAAGTTTAAAATAGTGCTGTGTTAATATTTTTATCAGAAATTAAATTTAAAATTGATTTTCTGAATTCTATATTTCAGTATTCTGAAATAAAAAACACGAATTTGTAAAAAAAAAAATTTTATTTCAGAAACAATTTTTTTCTTTTTTTAAATCAGCAGTGGGGACAAGTGAGGGAATGACATATTGGTATATTTTAATTACCTAAAATAAATAAAAAATAAAAATTGATAATTTTATTTTTATTCTTTTGTTAGCTTGCATTCTGAAGGACACTTTCCCTGAAAATTTTTTTTCGTAAGTTGTAAAACAAACATAAAATATACTGGGGACATGAAAATGACTGTTTTTGTGAGAATGACCCATATATATTACAATTATTTTCTATTTTAATTTACTGATGGTCAAAAAATTTTGAACTGTATTTTTACACTAATTTAATCTATTTTATTTTAGGTGATAAAAGCCAACATTTTGGCAAAATCGCCACATTTTCTGGAGAAATAAAAATTAAAAAATAAGTCTTTGAAAAGCTGAAAAACTAAAGAAGTGAAATTACCATTAAATGGCCCAGACTTAAAATCTCTCTTCTGACTAAACTATTGAAACCATATTTTGTTGATTGAAGTTTATTCAAAGAAAGTATGTTTTGTGTGTAAAATCGTCTACTTTATTTCTTCCTTGAAAAAAAAAATAGTCATTTTTGGTGAAAAAATTCATGGAAGAATATTTATATTATGAGCTATGTATAGAAATTACTCTAGTCTATTATTAACTTTATTCTTAACTTATAGATATTGCATTAGGAACTACCATGTCTGCAACTGCTGCTTCTTTTAGGGATTCTTCTTCAAGCTCGGATATTAATGATGAAAAAGCTAGAATTGATAAATTACAAGAGGAATTAATAAATGTGCAGGTACAGAAACACAAGTGATCAGCTATTTATATGTATATTTTTTTATTTTTCAGTTACTGTTATTTAATATTATTTTCTATAGATAAAATATCAAAAGGAAGTAGAGAGATTGGAAAAAGAAAACAAAGAACTAAGAAAGCAAATAATGTTGAAGTCTGTTAAGTCCCAGCCGTCAAGAAAAATAAAGGTATTCCACAACATGTAATTGTTAAATTTAAGAATTCTAATTACCTATAACTTATTACCTATAACTTACTGCAGCTAAAATAAAAACTTACTCTACACAGAAATAATTTTGTAAACACTAAAATCAGTTAATTTCATTAAAATTAGATTTTAAGAACTATCACTTTTTAAAGCATATCTTAAAAATGTATATTTAAAAAAAAGGCATTGAGAATTTTATTAAATGTTTTTATAAATTTAATATTTTTTTTGTTTTTGAAGGGTAATAATTATTTTTAATATGTACTAAAAATCATTTGTGATTTGATTAAATTTTATTCATTTCGCTTTTAACCCTGGAGTTTTGAATTGGGCAGATAAAAATTCAATGACTGGTTAGATACACTGCACTCTATATAAGTGTCTTACGGACAGCTGCACAAATCGCTCCAAAATGTCGTTTTTTTTTTTTCTCCCCAAAATAACACCAAGCTTCTCCACATCTCTGATAGTATTTATTGAGCAATAAGCATAAATTTTGCCCAGTTAAGTGCCAAATCTTAGTGCAAAAGTTAGTTCTAATTGTCCCAAAGCGGCAAACAATTTTAATTTCTTCAAAGGTGATTAACATGCTTAATTTGATGAGTTCCCCCACTAGAATGAAGCATCTCAAAAAGTGATTACTAAAATATATAATTTGCTTGCCATATTAAGGTATCAAGAATAATAAAATGATCAATTTGCCCAGTTAAGTGCCAAATCATAGTGCGAAAGTTAGTTCTATTGTCCCAAAGCGGCAAACAATTTTACAGGGTATCCGCGCACCTGGAAAGTCATGAATTTCAGTATTGAACAAAATTTGTCATGAAAAGTCATGATTTTTGCTGTTTTCTTGAAAAAAATCATGGAAAGTCATGGATTTTGGTATTTCAGTGTTGCAAGTACTGCGCCAATTGTGGAAACCTGGGCCTATATGCTCCAAATAGAAGTAGTAGGCTTAAATTGCCCCGATCTGAGCCAAAAGGGATATTTTCCCCTGGGTATCGCCAAGTCACAATTTTGCGGCAACCAAGCTACTGCTATGTGATGGGTTGCTCTGGATTCAGCGGGAAGGATTCTTGCACTCTCATGTACAACTCTGCTTCATTTTACAAGATATTCTCAATTTCAGGTTTCATTTTCCACTCTCTGAAATGGAACCGAAACTTCCCAGGAATTTTCGGGGACAGACTAAACATTGCCAAAGTTTAATAGCAAACGAAAATTTTATTTCTCTTGTTTAATTTCATTGTTATTGAAGTGCCATCGTCTTCGTCAATGGCAAGCTTATGGCCTTCTTGCTCTATTCTATTTATAGAATAGTACTCATGATCTTGGAATTAACTTGGGGACCATTCACTAAGTACAAATTTTCATGTTGATCCTCAGAGCAGTCAAGAATCAAAAAGCTTCATAACCTCAAAATTTCCATCTCCCTTTTATTCATTTAATTTAATAAAGATAAAAATTGAGTTTCTTAAG